CTGAGAGGCCCAGGAACTTTGGAGGCGCCATCTTGGACAGTGGGATGGAATGTGAGGGATGACGGAATTCAAGATCAGGACTCCAGCTTTGGGTAGGAGCGAGGCCGTGGATATTTAAGCTTGATGGAGGTCGAACCCAAGCATGGGAGGCGGACAAGCCAAGACGAATCGAAAACAAGGAGAGGTCGCAAGGTCGGCCATGCTTACACCTCTGCCGGAGGGGGAAAAAGGTTAGCGTGATACTTTGAGTGTACAGAAAACTAGGATATCTTGCCGGTATGAGTGTTGCTCTTCTGTAGAGACCTGTCTTTTGCCACTGATCTGCACTAACGGTGAATACCTCTCAGCTCTAACCTCTCTTTTTTTTTTCTCCCCGGCGGAGGTGTAGTGTACACTAGTGTGTGAATATCTTTGTGCCAGGGCCTTGCGATGACCGCAACGGCGTCCCCATTGTGTTGTGAAACCAGCGACAGGCGGTGGTTGAGCGGTGGAACTCTTGGATGTTGTGGGTGCGTGGTGAATGGGGGACGATCACGGATTCGGAGCGGGTGAACTACGGGGAAGCAGACAAAGCGGAAGCGTTCATCTTGTCCCCATTGGGCCGCATCCAGCGTCGAGGTACACTACGCACGGTGAAGACACACACACACACGACCCCAGTGCCGTGGTATTCCTGTCGCCTGAAGAGGCTATCCGCGGCGAGTGCTGATATCAGACGCTACCTGCATCTATCGATGGCCAAGCTGCCAAGACACCAGAGGCGGCAGGCAAATGCAGGGTCGTGGAAATGCAGGAAACGGGAAATGTCATAATGAGCTGTCATTTGTCCAAGTCCACGGAGGACATGTCCCTTTCCGGAATCCCGTTTGTTGTTCATGGATCTGGGATGGAGAAAGGGCAGCCTTGTTGCCCGTGTAAGCGCAACTAAACAGATGACGATTAGAAGTGATCGTCTCTGCGCCATCCTGGTAGGTTAGTGTACTGCATTCCTCTGTCCGGGGCCCCCATTCCTACTTAGTTGTAGTCGCGCGATGGGCTACAGACCGCACAGTTCATTTGTTGTCTCATACCACGTTGTCGAGACGGAAAAAGCAAACCATACTATTGATCGATGGTCGACGTGGTAGTCACGCATCGATGAAGAGAAGGATGGATGGAACTGGGAAGAAGGTGAAGAAAATGGTGGAGTAAGTGGAAGTCTTTTTCCCCAGTCAGGAAACCTTCACCCCAGACGGGATCTATTGGGAGGGGCCCGTGAGAGCCTTGGGAGCGCTTGCCGTGATCAAGCCTGGAGAAAGGGAAGCGGTCCCACTGCAACCTAACATGGAGCATATGAGGTCATGGTGGGGCTCTCTTGCATTCCATCAGATTTTTTCCCTTACTCAGCTTTCATGACAATGAACCCGCCAAGCCCAAGACCACAAACTGCGCGAAAACAATGAGCCGCCGGCTTGGAGTTTACTTGTTCAAACTGGCTTCCCGTCCTTGTCGGGCTGTTTTTGCCCGACCTGACTGACTCTTGCCCCTGTCTGTTCCTGGGAGTGGACGAATGATGTGACGAATAACTTGGTATAATACACTACTGTGTAGAAGGGACGGAAGCGGTGCTGTTCAATTTCCAAAGTGCCGCTGACAGGTGTGGTTGACTGGTTGTGGGTGTTAGCTTGCCGCAGCACAGTACAGGGACACTGTCTGCTCATTGGCTGCCAGTAATGCCTCTGAGTCCGCTCTTCCTTCTGCAATCTCAGCTGTCCGCAGAGGGCACTCGCTTTGTCTCATGCCGGCATCTGTTTTACACTACACTACCTCTACCACCAAGACCTCAGGTCTTTGTTGCTGTTGTTTGTTGTTGCCGCCGCTGGCAAGGTAGATAACATCATCGCCAAGGCCCAGCAACAAAAACAGGACGGACTCTCTTTCAGGTGTCAGAGCAACCTCAAATCCTGAAACCGAGGGTCCCTTTACTCCACAGTCCACCCGAGCTCATGAAAATCCGCCGGACTCCAACACGCTTCCAACCACCCTTCGGCACACCCCCGCAGCCCTGTTCCCCGCCTCTCTCCATTTCCTACCCGCACCACTGCCACGTTGATGCTCATAGTGGGTCGTGCCAGTGGAGTCTCAGAAGCACCCGACTCGAGATGTAACCCCTCAGCGCCGCTCTCTGTCGTCCGCCGCTTTGCTTTTTTGTGGGCTCTCGGCCCTTGTTCGGGCGTTAGGTGGCCGTGTCTCCAACCACTCAGCTTGACCACCATCTGTGATGATCGCTCCTCTTTACCCCGATTTTTTCGGATTTTCATGTGACGCATGTCGCACACGCCAGACGGTGGCCATGGCCCAACAGGCGGCTGCAGAGTGCCAAAAGAGGCAGTTGACATGAAATCCCTTGGGGGGCCCAAGTGTGTGTCTCTTTGGGTCGGTAAGTTAGTGTAGCTTCATCTTCGACCAGAGAGGCAGCCCGGTCTCGAACATGGAAATTTCCGTGATGGCTTCCATTGAACCACTAGGGACCATTCCCACGCATGCACCCCGAGAAAGTGCAACTATCACGGGACCCTGTTGCCGCTGTTGGGACCCGACTCTCGCAGGCTTCCCCAGAATCCATCCGGTCGTCTGGGGCTGAAAGGGTCTGGGGGAAATGAGGGGAAATGGCAAACACACGTGCGCCACCGCCAGTCCGGAAAGTTTACACTACTGTGTATTGTACAACCAAGGGATGGAGGAGGCCGGGGAAAAGGAGTGGAGTGAAAAAGGGGCTCCGTTGCGGAATCAATCATTTCCACTCTGGACGTCTTGTGTTCGGGCAAACACTGTCGGCAGGCACAAACTTAATCACTCAAAACATCTTTCGATACTCGCAGCTGGAGCGTCGGTTTTCCACTCTTGGGTGTTAATCAGTGGCTTATCATTGCTCCAAGCATCTTTGTTGGCCCTGACGATCCCAGCGCCCGAGCAAGCAACAAATCCGAACAAGAGAACACCCAAGTAGTTGTACACTACATATAATATGCAAAGGTACGTACTGCGATTATCTCGGCCACTGCTACTCCACCGGCCAACATTCCCACCTTATAAATCCCATCCTTGGAAGCCAAGCATATTTCATCATAATCTTCAGGAGAATGGCGACTGTCATGGGCAGCGGGTGGATGTGCCACCTCGGTGTACTATGCAGTATACACCGACACAGACCTTCACAAATCATAATAGTCGACAAAACCCTCCATCTTTCGGTCCTCAGTCCAGTCTCTGGCGCACTACTGAGCTTCAGACAGCCGGCCCCCGTTTAACTGATTTCTGGGTACATGAACCCGAATCGGCTGGCAGCCGTTCATAGACCCGTCGATGTTCCGGTCCGCCACGCATGCCGTTCATAGCCTTACCGCCTCTCCCACCTTCCCGTCCTGCCACCGAACCCCCCACCGGCCGCCCGCGGAATCGGAGTCGGCGCCAAAAATAAACCTTCAACTTACTGACTCGCCAAGAACATCATCAAATTCGGCACCACTACGGCATGCGGTACCGTAGTGTGCTGTCAGGAAGACTTGTCGCATTTGGCATGCAAGTGGTAACCGCCCGGATCCCGCGCAAAACCACAAAATTGCTTCATCATACGGGAGCGGCCTTGGCCTTCGGAGAGAAGTCATGGGCACCCTTGACCCCTTGGTCATAAATGCGTGATAAGCGATAAGACAACGACGCCGTGCCGAATCATGTCATCGGAACGGGTATGGCAACCATCGCCGGATCCTCCTTGCAAGCATTCGGTGCCTGAGCTTTGGCCATCTTGGCGCCGCCTTCGTTCGAGAGACATTGACCGCAACCACCGGCTTCTCGGCAAAGTTGCTGGCGCCGCATGCGCGATCGACAAGCCAAGCCCGAGTACCAGTATTACTATGGTAAGCCCCGGCTTGGCTGCTCCTTGATGGGCCGAATCTCCCCGCGCCGACACACGGTTTTGCGGAATATCTCTGCCGGATCCCTCCGAGCTAAGTACGATGACCTTCTCCGTTATCAACGCCTGGACGCAAGTTGTCTATCATGGTGAGACATACGTCTCTTTTTGTCTGTTTTATCGCCAGACAGGCATCCAAATCCGAGGCACCAACCTGGCAAGTGACATGGACTACCAGAGAAACTTGATGCTTAGCGGCGATGATATGAATAATCGTTTCAAAGTTCAGGTTTCGAAGCAGCTTCCGTCCCATCTGAAGTTGATGTGGAATCACTTACCAAACTGTATCCAGTGATACACGTGCATGACTCGACTTTATCCGCTTTTACAGTGTGTAAAAGCGGTTTATATGTGACACAAGACGATCCTTCACGCGCTTCAAGTTGCTGCTGCAGCCTTGCTGGGTAATCCATGGCTACCTCATGTGTTGGATATCAAGATCACCATGACGATGTTGCATTCTGGCTTCTCTTCTGACAGAATCTATCTCAAAAAAAAAAATCACAGCCCAGACATCATGACTTCCAGTTTTTGAATCGGCCCATTTCCCTTTGTTGACCAGTCTCAAAGAATTGTCTTCTCCCCGTCTTACCTCATGGTGTGCAACGGGAAGTGGGGATACCGTCCCTAAAGCATACGTTGCTCATCTTACACTCGTCTCCCGGTGCTTGTGAACTTCTCGATTCCTGCTGAGCTCCACCATTTTTGCTCTATGATCGGAGGACTGTAAGGCGAGAATATCAACAACCTACCCTTTTCTGCTCTCATTCTTCATAAAGATTGGCCGTTAAGATCGTCAAGACGTGCAGGCAAGGACTATCAACAGTACGTGATAGAGAGCAGTTTGCACTCGGTGTGTGGCAAAGTCGTGGGTAAATGATCAACGCCCATAGTCTACGCCGTCACCTTACCCTGTGAACTCTCTGCAGAACGAGGAGATTCATATGATAAAATATTTAGATAAGCAACTGCTGATGATCGAGTCGAGGCTCATTGTAGCAGCTCGACAGTTCACATCAACCTGTGATTCACCTGTTCGGTTCGAAATGTCGCTGCAGCAAACACAATTTGCTGATGATCCTCTACCCTTAAACAACGCCATTGGAATCATGCCATCAGTCTCTGTTTGCTGAGTTGGAATGCAACATCCGCCGTCGCTCCGTCAATAAAATCGTTCATCATAACGACAAGCGTGTCGTACCCACACGTCCTCAGAACGTTATCCCTACACCACGGCAACGTTTTGGAATCACAGGTTGCCTTCGTCGCCAGAATACAGCTCGACGTTGTCCTCGCATCCGAAACTGAATACGCCACGGCCTTCGGGATGTTCGTCGCCGTTGCCTGACACTGGATGTTGATGAAAGCCTTGCCTTTCCAGTTGTCCTCGGTGAGCACCCTCGGGAAGGCATCAACAATGCTCTGACCATCCATCGTGGCATTTCCTTCATCCGTATACGTCGACAAGCTATCCACGCTCTCCATCATGATCAGCCTCTTCTTATCCCTCCTCAGCTGTGCAATCGTCGCGTGTCTCAGGTCATTCTCGTTCCCAGTCACTATCCGATCACCCGCCATCTTCAACGCTTGGTCAAGATACTCCCTCTTATCCTGGTCCGACGGCCTCGCACACTCATTCGGCACGCCATCCCACCTCAGGTGCACCACCACAATTTCCTCCTGATGCGCCAGCAAGAAGGCTACCACATCCGCCAAAAACACATCATAGCCCATGCCCGGGATCGCGCCATGCTGGAAATACAACTTGTCGGGTAGACCATCCTTCCCCCTCTGCATCGCCGACCTCACCGCCGCATGACAGTACGCCGGGCGAAACTCAAAATACCTGGCTCCAATCCGTAACATGGCATCCAAGCTATCTTTCTGCGTCATGGCCAGACTAAAGATGATATTCGGCGCAATCAGCGCTATCGCCGGTCCCGAAATCGTGTCCGCAATCTCCGCCATGATCCGATTATCGTGCACCAAGGTGCCCACCACCGCACCGCCCAACTTGCTGAGCAACTTGGAGCTGCTCGCCATGCTGTTCATGCCCGCGTCGTGCGCGCTGGGCAGCACCAGTCGTCGGAATCTTCGATTGGCCTGCCATGATCCGGGGGGGATCAGGTCTTCCATCCAGCGACTGCCGGCGGAGGAAACGGTAATGTAGCACTGGTGTCGCTTCGGCAAGATATCCTGCCCCGCGGGGCCGGATTCGTAGAACCCATACGTCACCACCACTTCTCTCCTCCGTCGGTTGGGTGTGGTGGTACCCTCGGGATCCACCCACGAAAAAATCGACGGCGTCGAAGCGATACTGTCCATGGTTCCCCCCGTGGCGAAACCAGTGATGGCATTGATGTCGATCCATTGCTCTGTTATCAGCTTGTTGTTGTTGCTGTCTTGGCCCAGGGCTAAATTGACGCGAAACGAAAAACGACCTTTTTTGTCAAAGAGAGAGGGGATGTTGCGGGCTTCCACTTCGATGGCGCGGGAGAAGAATTGCTGCTGCTGCTGACTGGACGCTGCTGATGATGATGAAGAAGTAGGGGGACTACTGGATTGGAAGACGACGGTTTCGCCGGGCACGGTTAAAGTGATGCTGCATGTTCCCCAGGAGGCGACGGTGGGGGAGATGTAGGCTGATACTTGGACGCCCTTTGACGGAAGCTTTTCTTGCATTTTGATGGACATTCTGCGGAATAACGAAGGAGAGGCGCTTGAAGAAGTTGATGGGGAGGCGGAGGTCGAGGTGGAGGTAGGGGTTGAGGAAAGGGGGGATGTTGATTTGGAGGCGAAGGAGAAATGGCGACGGTCTTTTTTGAAGAGGGTCTTGAGTATCATTGTCTTGTCGTTTCGCTAAGTTCCTTTGTAGGCTCGTCTTGTGGTTTTGTGATGTCTGCTCGGGCTGGATTTGGTGACTGGAGTTTGAGGTGATGTCACTAACCCGTTAGAGATAATCAGCTACTGTTTGCATGGAATGGGCAAAGTGACATGTGGTGGATTAATGAGTGATAGCTGTTGTGGTGATGTTGTTGTTGATGGAGTAAGAAATTGAATGGTCGTTCTCTTCAGAGAGGAAAATGATGCAAGCCTACATTATTCGACCAAGAAAGAAACAAGAACTGACGTTCAAGATGGAGTTGGGTTGGGAGGCCGCATTATATACCTCTATGAACCAATACCCAACTCAAAGTGTATATCAATCGCGCAAGCCTCCCGCCCAGTACCTATCTTAGCTTTGATCGAGAGCTTCAAGACCGGGAAGGCTGAAACACGGGGTGTGTCCCTCCGGGGTAATCCTGGAACAACTGCAAACGTCACTTTAAGATTGGGCCCTGGCGCATACGGACATATGAATGATGTTGAACTAATCTCGAGAATTTTGTGATAAAGATGGTGACGTGCGACTGGTTCTCAAACTTTGAGAGGGACTTACATGGCAAGTGATTGATAGGTGTGATGGGAACGGATGATGCGCGGCGTGCTGGGTGGTTGGCCTAGTTTGGCCAGCTGAGAGGCCAAAATCTAGAGGTAGGAAGGGGGATAAGAGGCCAAGACTGTTCGAAAAACGCCCGAGATGTCAAGGCGGCTTGACCTGAGCGCCTGAGCCGCTCTTTCGGGAACAAGTAGTACCTATGCAAGTATGCACCTGTATGCATGGAATTGGTTTGCTTGGGTGCGTGCCCGCTTGAAGTAGGTAGGTATGGAGGGGCGCATGGCATGCTTGGTTTCGCTTGACTCACTCTTCCAAGTTTTTGTCCTGCATAAATCATGTGAATGGCTGTCTTGATAACTCAAAGTTGCGTTCATTTAGTGCCTGGAGGTATGGAAGACCCGTGATGAACATCAAGAACCTAATTCTTCATGGGCATTTGAATCGCAATTTTGACCGAGGTGTTCATGTGTCTGCTATCATTAATGTCACCACCGTCGAGATAATGATCGGTGGAATGAGTGCTACATTGTAAGGGTACAGTGTACGAGAGATTGTCAATCGGTACAATAGATAGAGGTATTTAAAGGATGAAGAGAAACACCCATCACTCCTTCCGAAATCGCCATATCTGGTTCATGATGTAAAGAGAGTTGTCAAAATAAGCTCGAAAACCTATACAACAGTCCATACGTAGGTAGGCAAGTCACACTCAGGGTCCACGACCTTCGCGGGTTAATACAAGTGGAATACATGTATCCGATCCTGAACTAAGGCTAATGTCATCTATTGAACCTGGAAGGATCTTGAGCAAAATGTATAACGTACAAACCTACCTACCTCTGATAGCAGACATTACTTCCATCTCAAGTCGGACTGAAACAGAGTTGTCCTCTGGAAACATATCTTGACCTCTGGCTGCTATGCTCCTCTCTGGACAATAACCAAGTCGCCCTTTTGCAATCTATCTCTTTCCCATGAAGGACCCTTTGTCTTGCTAGGTGAACAATACGCTCCTTGCGCTCCTCTTTTTAGTCAAAATAGGAATATTTCCGAGTTCAATTACCAGCTACATCTTGCTCATTGAGGATGAAGACCAGCTGAAATGTAACTAGCTAAGGTACCTGCGGCTCCGGTAGACACCTCCTCTTCTAATATGCCATTATCTGCAGTGCGAAGCTTGTCCATTGCTGCTCCTGCTCGTACTGCTTAGAGATACTTATTATGTCTGCAAGTATTAGGCATGTAGAAACGTTCAATGCCCGCTGCCTGCGGAATATTCGTCATGCACTCGGTCATCAAAAGGGCTTGCGAATATTTCATCTGTTCTTTTACTGCCCGCACATTTTGAAACGTAGACTTTTGAATACTCGATTCTTCTCGCGTTTCCCGCTATTCCAGTGCAAACTCTAGTAACGCGGAACTTCAGGCTGTCAGAGCGATCCCAAGCCACAACCTATTTCCCTTCCTTGGTTCGATCGCTGCATCTTTCGTCTGCTCACAACACTCAACCACAACCCTCTACCTCCTCCGGTATCTTCTGTTCTGCCATCCTTGGACGGGCAAGAGCAGCGTGTACCTTGGGGTTGCTAGAGCTACCGCGAGTCAGATCGTCTTCACCTTTGGGGACACAAGGGTTCTATCTTTCACCTTGTATTCAGTACGTTGAATCGCGCCCGTCGCCTACCTCAATCTTGGTACTTATAGCCTTCGCTAACAGTTTATCAACAGTCGTAAACGGCAAGAGCTTTGAACAAGCACCAACAATCACCCGCCCACGCGAAGAACCTTGCTTTGTTCACGATGCGCGGCGTATACCAAGGACCCCCAAGCAACTATCTCCCGCCGAGCTCAAGGTTCGCAGCAGGTACAAACAACAGACGACCACAGGTGGCTCCCACAGGGCTCCCGGGTAGCAACCCGTTGGTAGAAAACTTGCCTGAGCAGCAAACCAGCCACCTGCATGGCTCACTGTCTTTCCAAGAGAGCGCCGAACTAGCCTCACGTCGCTTCATTGACGGGGGTAGCTCGGCTACAACTTTTCCACGTCAGCAACCGACAGCACAAGAGACACAGAGCAGGGCAAGGATGGGCGCTTTCTATGATCCTGTCAGGGACATAGTCTTGTCGCCGCCTGGATTTTCGCCTGTCGCCGCCGAGCCCGTGCTGGGCAACGCTTTGTCTGACGATGGCAGTATCGAGACGGTAGTGGCGACGGAGTCTAGTCCCACTTTCAGCAAGCCTAACTTCCACCAGATTGTCGGCAGCAACACTCAATATTCGGTCCCCAATGCCCGCGTCGAAATCGATCGGACTACTGCTTTGAAGATAATGCTTTCAAATTTCCGCAGAACTTCAGCCTCTGGTTTTCATCAAATCCCGGCAACTGCTGTCGAACCAGACCAGTACCAGAATCATAGCCCAGTAAAAGGCCCCCTCGCTCAAACACCACCACAGTCCGCACCCCAATTCGCACAACCAAATGCTCCAAGGACGTCTCCCATACCTCAGAGAAACACCAGGCCAAAAGTGCCAGCCATGTTCAGAGACGATATCTTGCAGGACTTACTCCTACGCCAATCTAATCCCGAAGAACATGAACAGGTGCGTGAAGCAGCCTCGTACGGGTTCACCACCACTCTACAGCCAGTAAGAAAACGTTCCAGCGATGCGGCGTTATATTCGCCACAAGAAGGACAAGAAGAACCACCAAGAAAGAAACTCAACAAGAGAGGCGGCGCCCGTCCTGGTGCGGGGAGGCCAGCGACCAAAATGTTGAGGCAGCTGGCTAGTGAGACTACTCAGCAATCGCTCAGGCCTGGTAGTCTTTGGGGTCGGACGAATTCCGCTATTAGTCCTGGTGGTGGTAATCCTGGACATGCTGTTTGTGTTTCCGATGCTGGATCTCTCTCAAGCTCCTACTCTGGCTTTCCCTTGGTCCCTTCCGCGGACCCTCACATCCAATCTTCAAGTTCTTTTTCAGCACCCTTCGGCCCCAGTGGTAGTACTTTGGAACCGGAGTGTGCTTCTGTTGCTGGTGCTGTATACACCACAGGCTCTAACACTGGCTTTACCTCCGTCTCTTCCGCTGGCACTCGCAACCACCCTTCAAGTTCTCTGTCAGCGACTGTGGGCCCAAGTGATCTCAGTGGCACGCTCCCCAGCAAAGACAAGAAGCGCAAAGCGGATGGCTCGGATATCCACTCTGTAGATGGAATCTTCTCTGCTCCTGTGTCTACTTCTGTTGCTGTTTCTGTGGCTGCTTCTGCGCTTGAGATTTTAAAGGGGCAGAAAGAAAAACCACCGCGGTTACAACTTGCTGCCCTGGATATAGAAAGGGTCGGGGATGTAGAGGGTGGAAAGGGGGATGATGTCTCTGGTGATGTCACGGCAGGGGAGGAGAGAAGAGAGCGAGTAGTGGAACATAAGTTTGCAAAGTGTCCTGAAACCCTTGAGAAGGAAAACACTCCATGGCTGCAGTCGAGGAACCTGCACGAAGGCAAAAGCAAAACAGAGGAAACCAGAGGAGCCAAGGAACCAGAGCGTAGAACGCAGGAAGAGGGAGACGAGATGAGACAGGCGGCAGTGAAAGGGACAGAAAATGGAAATGGAAAGAGGAAGGCCAGTGCTATCTCCCCACTGGTAGAGCGCGCGGCCGAGGAACCGGCGAAAGGTGAGCCACCCGCAAAGCGGGCCAAGACAGCGACTATGTCCAGCCCCGCGGTCTCCGAGGCGCCAGTGAGAAGGAGCGCGAGGCTCCAGAATTCTGCTGCTAAGAACTGCCAGAGTCAATGAGCTCGAATAGATTGCAGAAGACAATGCGGGCATGACAACTGGGCCAAGACGGTCAGCAAGGACATGAATGTCAAAGATTCGGTTGGGGGTACCGGGCAGCCTAGCAGTTGCAGTCACCGGGCATGTAACTGGAAGCCAACTGGCCAACGTTGCCGAGTACTTCCAGACATTCTTAAGCATTTGCGGCGTTTTGTGTGGATATGAGTCAAGTCTGGGCGCAGTGGTGATGTTTTTTCTGCTTCTTTTTGTGAGAAATTCGATTGTGTGGTAGGGTAGACACTCAGCGATGTCGACTTGAGCGCGACTAGAAATGCCACAATGAAAAGTGATTGTGCAATGCACTCGTCCAAAACCCCTCATTGTCGAGAAATTTCTCTTTGTGTTGTGACATTGTGTTGAAGGAAAGAACGAGTGTCTTGTCCGAATTGCTGCCTCCGTCACTTTTTGCGTCAGGGTTAAAGTGGGGCCATCTACAGACTGCTGGCCACGGGCAAGACACTTCAGTTTTGAGCCACGAACATCATTGCAAGAACACTATATGAACAAATGTAGCTGCCCATGACCTCCTCAACAATTATAGAAATACTAGATCGTACCGAATGCCATTCTGGTGCGCGGAATTAGGATATTAACGCCCACAGTCAACAGACACTCACGCGTATGCCCTTCCCATGAGGTTGTGCAAAATATCACGGATAGCTGCTGGAATCTAGAAGCAAGTTCTCCAACCTCACTTCCTCCGAGATACTGTTCTCTCCCAAATCCCAGCCCAGTGCCAGTGTGACAAGCAATAAGTGAATGCTCAGCTACCATCTGTCAAGTCTAGAGGTAGTTAGTACCTTCTACCCCCTCTTCCTCCTCCTCTGTTCACCCCTCCCCGTCACCTCCAGCATAAAAAAGAAAAAAAGATAAAAAAGGGGGGGGAGGAAACAGAAAAAAAGATGTGCGGTCCGGGGTTCGAACCCGGGTTCTTTCGCTGTCAGATGTTCTCCCCTGGCACCTGTAAGGGCACTGACTATGCAGACCCAAGTAGGCTCTGTTAGGACAACAGTTTACTGAGCGAACGCGTTGACCACTACGCCAACCGCACTTTGTTTTGTTGTTGAAATGAGGTCTGTCGACCTAATCTATATACCTCGAGTCAGGGACCATGTGGTTTGGCTGGTGGTGGTGGTCATAATGGTCTGGTGGTCTGGTAGTTTTCATGTCCGTGCTGGTGCTCATGCTCATGCTTATGCTTGTCTTCATGTGGAAACTGACGCTGGTGCTTCAGATGGTGGTGGAGCTGGTGAATCCAGTGCTTGTGTTGATGCTGATGCTCGTAGTTAGGTAAGTAGTGTAGCCGTCGATGACTGATGTCTGGTGTTTTGAGGCCCGGTAACGTGTAGGCGTGCCTTCCTTCCTTGACAGAGGACCTGGGCGTACTGGTGACGCTTACCATGGTGGTGTGGTGAGTTGAGGCCATTTTGTTCCTTCTGTTTGCTTGCAAAAGGGAGCCCACTGGCTCCTACTTGGTGGATCTGTTGTTCTTGTTTTAACACACAACGCTTCTATCGAGTTCATTGCTGGCGTTTCCTTCTATTGTTGTGAGCCACGACCTTTGTGATTGCGCACCCACGATATTCAAAACCAGCCACCATTTTGTAATTTGCAGCAGTTTTGTGATTCAATGAGGGAACACCAACCATGGACATAAGCAGAGTAGCTGTAAATATGCACGCAGATCAATTTAAACTTGCAACATTGGAAACGCATATTTTCATGATGATAACTAATTTGGCCTTGAAGCCATTCATCCTCCCAGCGACGCGGGCCTGCAGTGTACGAAGTTCTCGCACACCATCACTTGGTGCCTCGAGAGAAGTGACAGTCAAGTATTCGGGAGCACTCTTCACGCAGTCTGCACCGTCGATCTCCCATCTCGTCGCGCCTTGACTTGCACGGGTGGCATCTACAAAGCATCTTTGGCAGTGATATCAATGCCGTTACTTACGTGAACGATTATCAAAGACTATATCTGCAATGGAACCCCTCACTCAAATCTTGCTGCACCTCGAGCTCAGCGAAAATGCAGATTTCTCCCGCCAGTTGTGTGCGTATTGTACTTGCTACTGCAGCCTGTACCAATGCAGTTCACCTCACCGCGCGCAGCGTGCGCGTCACCTTCCTTACCTCGCTATTGTACCTTTAGAACACAATCGCGACTCACCCGACGCGTCAGCCCCCCTGCAATGCCAGTCACCCACTGGACCACTCAATAACGGCATACAGCCCTCCCCGAGTTCTAGGTACCATTTGAGGGTGCTACGAGCGGGAGCCACGTGGGTTGAACACAGCACACGGGTTGATCAAATTGCTATGGACAAGAAATCGACATCGAGGAAAGCCATGTACGACGTCACCCGGATATGGCTGAATGACTGAGGGTGACCGAGTTTGGAGTGCTTGGCGTCAGAACGTTGGGATTTTGTTGAATTAGATCTAGGGGAGGAACCATTCATATGATATTTGTTGCAACGGTCAGGCAAGTCAATCAGTCAAGGGTTAGGTTTAGTCTGTTTTTAGAGCGATTGGAAGATGTTCAAAACCTCTATTGTGAGAGATAGGTATGTATGGTTTGACTTGTTTGATGGAGGCTCGATGCGACAATTGTCTTCACGTAAACTACCTATAATGTGCGGAGTTGCTTGTCCATCAGTGGAAGTGAGCTGCTCAAATATGTTTAAGAGGAGCTACTGAATGAGGAGCTTTGCGCGGTTATTGAGGACGCTTCATTAATCAAGAGTCATCACTGATGCGTACCTAAACAAAGCCTCTGCGGCAGTTACTGAACCTGAGTCCCTGACTTTTGATGTCTATGTCGTCGCGAAGAAGTGTTGGTACAGAGCTGACTTGAAGGGAAATTGGGTGACAAAAGAGAGCTAACCAATGAAGTGAAGAGGTTCCTTCACCTGACCGCATGCCTCTGGGTATGTTGTATTGCTAGAGAAAGAAAGAAAAGTCATGCCCCAACGCCGTAAGTCAGATCATCGTTATCCCATTCAGTCTCCTGCCACCTGTCCCGTTTTTGTGTATCCCATCACTCCATTCGTCTATCTCTTTTTGGCCTCGTCGGTGCATCTACCGCCGCCGCTACTGCCGCCAGCAGCGCTACCATCGGAGATGGGTAGAGGGACGTAGCTGCGGGGTCTCCAGCCATCACTGCCGCCTGAGCCACAGCCGGATGAGCCAGAGGAGGATGAGTTGGTGTAGCCAGAAGAGCCGGACGTACCACTACCGGTAAAGGTGTAGTTTCCGCTACTGATGATGATTTCCTCAGGCATCTTGAGACTTGAGTGCGTGTTTGGTTGGCTTGCTTTTTGCGTCGCGTAAAACTGGTTCGCTGGGAAACAGAAAACTTGTATTTCGAGGCTTGAAGACCTGTGGAAGAGGTTAGGGATGACTTTCAAAGAGGCTCGAAGGAAGAGTAATGTACTTTGTACGCGAAGAGCCCGGTGGAAGGAATGTGAGACCTCGGTGATGGTTCTGATGTTGTGGCGTAAGTTGAGAAATAAGGATCCGAAACGGTAGATTATGACTGACGGGGTATCTGATGTAATCTGCAAGATGCCGACTGAGACTTGCGGGTAGCAAGGTTCGAGTTGGTATTGTGTATGAAGAGGAGACAGATGATTTGGGACGAAAGAAAACCCTTAAAATATCCACGGGACGAAGCGCGTTATATACGCCACATGAGGACGACGAGTGTTCAGCGAAATCGATCACCTAAAAGCAAAAGGCGCAATACCAAATCTCAAAAGGGTGTTTACTGACCGAGATGACCAAGACTGATGAAGATGGTCATCACCAAAGGGTTGCATAGCCATCATCCTCACTCATCGAAAAATGTGCACATATCGGTGTGTCGATGACCAGTAGAATTCCACGCTCAGTTTGCCCCTGACTTTGACACATAACCAACAGCTCCATCCTCGCGACATTACGTCTATCAACAAGTCTCCCTGGGGTGCTTGGACCCTTTCTCTGCAGCCTCTCTTCCACCCAGCTTCGTCAAAGTCGATGCGAAGGACTGTGCACCAGCCCTCAGACCTGCCTTGAAATCGGCAGATTGTGTTTTCGCTGTCTCGTTTCAAAGTGCGCAATGTATTATCCCAGCTCCCGGGAAGCTGTCAGAACGAGACTCGCCTAGGGCTCCCTATGCGGCCGAACGGTCACTGGGCGGTTACACATTCCCATTGTCGGGCCCTGGTAAACATTGCTTCTGGAAAGTTTCCATGTTCCACTGGTAAACGCCAAGTGTCCGATAGTGTGAAAGGCATTTTTGCCCGAGCTTGCATAACGGCCGCTTAAAACCCGATTTTGATGCCTTGGTGCCAGTGGTATATACGGCTGGATAGCAGGTAATAAAGAGATCTGACCGGCCCGGGTATCGTGTATCAGTGGGCGCGCAGCGAATAACCTAAACCTCCATCAGGGTCATTGCGTAGCTCGTGTAACACCTATCAACTACGCTGCACCCAGGACCTCCAACGCTTTCCTTAGCTCCTTCACCGCCGTAGGAACATCTTCAAAGTTCAATGCTGAAATAGCCCATTTAGCGTGCTTCTGGGCTGAGGCCATGGCAGCTTCGTCGGTTGTGAAACCTCCAGCAACTTGCGAAGATGCATAAGTGGCTGCAGAGACAGCTAGTGGGGTAGGAACTGGCTGTAGACTGGGAACTGCGGGAGCTTGGGCAGCTGCAGGAGCTGGATTCTGGAAGGAAAAGTCAGTTGGCTGGTTGACAGGCGGCGATACCACAGCAGCTGTTGATGGTGCACTGGGAGCAAACGTGGGAGGAACGACAGGCGGAGCGGGAGGCTGGCGATCAGCACCCGGTGTCCAAGCTGCAGTGCCCGCATCTGGCATCGAGATATCACGATCCGGGTAGGATGAGAGTGCGCTGGGGGCGGATGGGAGATCGGGCTCAGGCCTGTAGTTGACAGGGTTATGTGTGGGAGCTGAGACTGGAGTGTCCAAGTCCAAGGAGACTGTTGACGGTGCTGGCTCAGCAAGCCCACTGGGTACACCGGGCAGCTTGAGTTCGGCTTCGGATATCGGGGATGGGCCAGCCGAGGCTGGGCTGATTGGCAGAGACACGCCGGCAGCGTCTGTCCTCTGCAAGTCTCTGTCTGGGACCTCCTCCACTGTGACCGAAAGGGGTGGTGGTGATGTCTTTTCGACCGAACCGGTCAATGTCTGAACTTCTGGATCACTGGGGTCCAAGGCCGGCAGTTGGGGTTCTTCTCGTTTCGGGTTGGATTCGTTAGGGTCCCTGCCCTCCTTGATGGCCTTTGCGATGCGTGCGGCGTTCCATTTTGCGTATTTAATCTTTTGCTGCGTCTCCTCGTCGGGAGGGCCCCAGATGTTGACCAGGTGGAAGAAGGTTGCGGCGGCATCGAACGTCATGGCCGTTTGCTGTGTCACTTTGTTTGCCTTGACCACTCGCTCGGCGCGATCAAGGGTTTCCTGTGCGAATTTGTCGACGACAAGCTGGCCGACCTCGTCGTCTGTGTAGGCATCTTCGTTCGGGTGCTCAGCTTTGGCCTGTAGGGAACAACAGTCAGCAAGAGAAGTGGTAAAGGGAGGCGGAATAAAGCGTGCCTGTTCCAGCTTCCCCATCAAGTCCATCGTATAAGTCATCATTTCGTCATTCTCTTTGTGGAGTCCCCGGTTAAGGATCTGGTTGACGACCCAATAATTGCCTGCAAAAGTCAGACACTGCCGGCCCCCAGTTGTCTTGGAGGGTACTTTGCTTCGTTTGCTTCTAGTACATACACCAATACGCAATCTCCGGTTTTACTGTTTGAAGCTGGAGGGCCTTTGTCGCGCATTTCCAGAGGTTGATATCGGCCGCCTTGACGGCAGCGGGGATCGCGATGTTGTCTGTCATGACGATTGCGTTCGGGCGTCTGACAGAATGCCTGGGCTATACGTTCGGATCAAGATAAGAGAATCTATAGGGAGAGAGGATAACTGAAGTTATGCAAACCAGGAAAGAGGGGAAGTACTGCTCGTCGTTATCTCTCAGCTTCCTTGTCAAGTCCCATGGAACAGAGGAGGGTTGACAGTTGAACATCCACATGGACTGGGACCGTGACTAGCGTCGTCACCTATCTTCCGCGGCTGTCTCTACGTACTTGCGTACGGCAGGCGGCACCAATTCAGTCCAGTTGTTAGCGTCCATCTTCCCCACATTCCCGCCCAGCCCTCTGCTCAAGCGCCATCTATGCCATCCACATGTGCCTTGGAGCTTGGACCACTTTACAGTCATGGCGCGTTTCAAAGCACTGAAAGCGCTCCCGGACCGCAGCTCCTCCCCTGGTGATTCTGGACGCTTCTGACTTCATTTGTATGTGGCGCCAGCTTTCACGGCTTCTGTTGAAATGTGTTCTTTTGCCGAACTTGGGAAGATGACAGCTTTTCCTTTCATCTCAATCGGTCTGTCTGTTTGTTGCTTAAGTTCCTTGGGTTTCAAAAACACGACACCATTTTTCACACGGGACTGACTCCCTAGGACGCCCATACGGAAGAGCTTCCTTTGTTCTCACTTACACATTGTATTGGTATCTGCCATTGTACATTCATGACACTATAGCTCCAACCCCACAAACCTCCGAATCTATCATCATCCCCATACATACCACCGTCACCCAGTAAACAAAAGCGTCGCTTTCCTGACTGTACCATGCATCATTCCACCCTCTGCGCTCTGGCAGTTGGTATCCTGTCTGCGCTCCCCGGAGCCCAGGCGGGCCTTTATACCAAAAAGTCCCCAGTTTTGCAGGTTGACGGAAAGGATTACGATAGGTTGATTGCCAAGAGCAACCAGACGTCTGTAAGTACCAAACCGACTATATCTTAGATCAGCCATCGTAATAATGCATGTATCTGACCTCTCTCCCTTGCAGATTCTTGAGTTCTACGCCCCCTGGTGCGGCCACTGCCAAAACCTCAAGCCTGCCTACGAAAAGGCTGCCAAGAACCTCGAAGGCCTGGCCAAGGTCGCCGCCGTCAACTGCGATGAGGACGCCAACAAGCCCTTCTGCGGCAGCATGGGCGTGCAGGGCTTCCCGACCTTGAAGATCGTGCGTCCTTCTAAGAACGGCAAGCCCATAGTGGAGGACTACCAGGGCCAGCGCACCGCCAGCGCCATTGTCGATGCTGTGGTCTCGCGCATTAACAATCATGTCGTGAAAGTTGAGGACAAGAACCTCGACAAATTCCTGAGTGACAAGAACGAGACAGCCAAAGCGCTCCTCTTCACCGACAAGGGCACCACCTCCCCCTTGCTGAAGAGCGTCGCCATTGAATTTCTCGGTGTCATGCCCGTCGGCCAGGTGCGAAACACTCAGTCCAAGGCGGTATCCACATTCGGTGTCGACAAATTCCCTACTCTGATCTTGTTGCCTGGCGGTGATGCCCCTGGTATTGTGTACGACGGCGAGATCAATAAGGTTGCCATGGTGGAGTTCCTTTCCCAGGCGGCCCAGCCTAACCCGGACCCAGCACCGGCCAACGGCAAGGCTAATGGCAAGGCTAATGGCAAGGCTAATGGCAAGTCTAATGGCAAGGCTAATGGCAAGGCCAACGGCAAGACCAACGGTGGTGAAAAGAACGGAAAGCAAGACTCCAAGAAGGTCGCCTCCTCCGAAACCTCCTCCGAAACCTCCTCCGAAACCCCTGCCCCAACCCAAGAGATTCCCGTAATAATCCACACCGCCCTCCCCATCCCCTCCCTCAACACCCCCGAAAAGCTCGTCAAGGAATGCCTCACGTCCAAATCCAGCACCTGCCTTCTCGCCCTGGTTTCCTCTTCCAATGAAAAAGCCCAAAAGGCCCTCACCCACCTCGCCGAGATAAAATTCAAATACGCCCTCGGCCAACACAAGCTCTTCCCCTTTTACGAAGTGCCCCTCGACACTAACCCCGCCGGCGCTTCCCTTCTCAAGTCCCTTGGCCTCAAGGAGGATGCTGACATTGAACTCATCGTCATCAACGCCCGTCGCGGATGGTGGAGACGCTACGACGCTGTTGGTGAGGGAGATGATTTCTCGGATCATGACAAGGTGGAAGCGTGGATTGATGCGATTAGGTTGAGCGAGGGCACCAAGAAAAAGCTGCCAGAGGGTATTGTTGTTGAGGCTTCTTCGACGGAGGAGGAGGAGAAGAAGAAGGAAAAGAAAGAGTCTGGTAAGGCTGAGAAGGCTAGTTCGGAGGAGGGGGAGACGCCTGAGGCCCAGTCGAAGACGGCCGGTGGTCACGATGAGCTGTGAGAGATTGGTGAAAGCGTAGTTTGCTGTGACTTGTGTCAGTGAATGGCTGATCAAAGGTTGAAGGTTTTTTGGTACCTTTTAGTTTCGGAGAACGCTTTCAAAAGTTGGCGCACGTTTAACAGAAACGACATGTTGCTCACCTGACCAAGAGCTGTACTTTGATTACATTGATAGTCGTGAAATTCGTCATGTTGCCTATTCTTTTTTGTTCCAAACCTTTATAATGCTGCCTACCGTACCATATCCTATTCTGTGACCCGGAACCCAACCATTGATCCAGTAGTATGCATTCAATCCAGTTCCATATCATTCAACCCAACCCCTCTCTCGACCGTGCCCTCCTGTATCATCTTTATCCCCTTCTCCCTCACTACCCTATCCAGGATCTCCCTCACCTGCTTACACCCGTCCACGCCCACGGCCAACATGCCCTCCAGGCGACTCACCTGCACTCTACTCTCGCAGACCAGCACCGCCACGCGGTCGCTGTCGCCTAATGTGGCCACCGTCAGGCCGGGCAGCTCCTGCTCCTCCTGGTGGTTCATGTCCAGCAGCGGGTCGGCGCCCTCGTCGTTAGCCGCGTATGTAGACGTCGAACCGGCCGTGCAGGCCGCGACGTAGTCTGTCATGGGAATTCCGGCGTCGACGCAGGCGAGCGTGGCGGCATTGATGAGGGCGGCCAGCAAAGAGCCGTCTTGCGAGAGCACGTGCAGGGAGATGTTGATGGTGGAGTGCGGGAAGAGGTGGGTGTGTAAGCTGGCAGCGAGGGCTTGAGATATCGTCGATTGAAGTTCGAGGATGTGCCTGTGATAATGAAAGAAGGAAGGATGACGGTTAGTTATGCGAACAGGGACAGACGAATAGCCGTAGTTGATACTAAGGGGGGGGAACAACCCCCTGGGTGTTGACTTACTTATCACCTCTGCCCCTTCGCTTACGGTCAACCGAGCTAAACCCGGCAATGACAATGTTTACAGCAACCTCAGCGTTCTTGGACTGACCGCCGCCACCACCACCGCCCGACGTGGCTCCCCTCCGAGGGCCGGGCTCGCTGGGTCCGTTAATGACACACATGACCTTGGTGTGGCCCATCTCGAGGTAACTGGAGCCATCGGCGGCGGCCTGGGTGCGGATCTGGGCATGAATGCGACGCAGCTCGTTCCACCTGCGGCCGTCGACGCGCAACAGCGCGAGGCTGTATGCTGAAGTATCGAGAGGCATAGCGGTGTGGGTGAGTGGGTGTTTCTTTCTATGTTCTGGTTGTTCTAGCGTTTCACTCTACTCCTCCGGGTATCGTGGTTCGGGCTAATCTCTCTACCGGGCAGGTAGCGAGTACACCAAAGGTTGAGATTGGGGTACGGTATCCAGTAAGGATCAACAACAAACGCCCTGAGGGCCTGTCTGGGGAGCTGGACCTGAGTCGAGAATTTTTGCTCCTGCTTCCCCTGCTTAGTGTCCACCAAGCTCAGGTTGTGCTTGTAGTTGTACCCTAGTCGTTCTTCGGGTCGGGTCGGCCAAGCTCGATCTGGGAGATCGTGGTTAGTGCGTACGGTTTCGGCTCCGTGGGACAAATTATTCGATGCGATATCGTGCCGCGAGCGACGCGCAAGCTTCTCGGTACGTTGAGTCGGAGGAGAGAAAGGCTTGCGTAATACGGAAGTGTCGGGGCCCCGGTTTCAGTGACTAAGTTATCGCGCAAAGTGGGAATTCGGAGCTTCCGGTCGACCAGTCTGAATAATCTACAGCAGGTTTTGGTGGACGGTTGTTGACTTTGAAATCGCCTTTTGCTAGGAATGAACGGACGTGGTTGGGCAAGGCCGAAAGTTTCCAATGGCAAGACAGGAAAAGTTTAGCTGAGCGGGGCGGGGCAAGATCCGCTGCGTCTCACGTTCGCGGGGTCGCCGTGCCCGGGCTCCACCGCTCACTCGGCAGGACGGGAGTTCCATCCGCAGGGCTTCTGCATCTGCTTCGCTTCCATCAGGAGCTGAAAATGCATGCAAGTGGTCTGTGCATTGGCTTGTTTGCAGCGCTGCAGACAGAGAACGGGATCCGATGGAATGGAATTGAAGGTTCCATCTACTCTTCACGTGATCTTGACTGCCATCATTTGACCTCTCCAGCTCATAGGGGTACAGTGAGTTGATGGCAAGATATCAATCGAATGCGCAATGTTGATGGGATCTTGATCGTGCACTGTGAGCAGGAGAGGTGAGGGCCTGAAGTCTGGACTCAGGAGTGATCACTACCTACCTACCTACTCAGGGGCACAACGACTGTGGCAGTGGCAGTGACCCCTTGTCAACAGCAAGGAGGGGTAAACCGGCATTCCTCCATTCCCCCTTCGCTAATTGTGGAATACGGGACAACGGCCACCAAGATCATCTCATGGATACCGCGATTCGCTGGGTGTTCGAAATGTCAATTGGTTTGTATTCTTGGAAGCCTCGGTTGAGCGCGTCGTCATCTTCTATCATCTCGGACCCAGGAGTGATCCGGTTCTAGAAGTCTGGAACGCTCGCCAATGCTTCTGAGGCTCCCTATCTGGGGTGCAAATCGATCGCGGTTCAAGAGGACTCCGTTTGGTGTTTTTGGGGAGAGTTGTTCAACATCAAGTCTTCACACTAGGAGGCGCCGTCGGTCGGCGCATGATGCAGCCCTAGACAGCCGGCCCAGGCTAGCACGAATTGGCCTAGTCTATCGATATGACTGAACAAAGATCCACCATTAGCAAGTCGTCATCCAGTGACCACAATGCCTTATTCAAATAGTTTCATCAGGCGCGGCTTGTTTCTCGTTTCACTGTGAAAACCTCAAGGTGCGCGCTTACTCATTGAAGAATTACTGCGCTGGTGGCCCGACCAGCCCACGGGGTCCAATGGAACGGAGAAACGGGGCAATGGGGGAGTGCTGTGTTGCCAAGTCTACCAAGGAACGACCCGCCAACGCCAATTCGCATTACACTTTTAATCAAACTGTGGATGAACGAACCATGAATTAGCCGAGGGGGCTCGCTAACACATTTCGCGGTACTTAATCCGAGCATGTGTTAGAGATCAAAGCTCTTTGGTTGGCATTGCCCCCGTTTCCGTTCATCTCGTTTCAGACCACCCGACCGCGACCAGGCTTCGAGAAACAGGGCTAGCGCTGCCATCCTTGACGCCAAAGCAACGGAACCTTCCCGCCCCCATGTTCACCTAATCTCCAGAACACCAGTCAATGCACGTGCGTCCTGTCTTGGGCCCCTTTGAGTGAAAGAAGAGAAAGGAAGTCGACGAATGTGGTCACAATGAGAATTCTATTGTCAGCTAAACAACAATGGCTTCTTTGACTTTGGCAAGCTGGACGTGACCTACCTATTCTTGCAGTGGGTCAAAGGTGCTGCATAATACAAACCTGGAAGTCAGCGTTACGCCTTTGTGCGTCGTCGAAGGGTTCCATTGTTCCACCGAACTGCCGGCGAATTAGGCGGGGGATATCAAAGGGGCCAGCCAATCAAAAGCATCAGGTACCTGAGCAGATGTCGTGGACGGCGGGTCGCTGCTGGCCACTCAGGGACGAGAAATGGGACGATCACCGCCCTGACGAGTGGCAGGGACTGCAAGACCCACTCGGCTCACCTGTCCAGACCAATCTTCCAGGTGCCAGGGATCATTTCTGCCAGGCCCTCATTTCGCTGCCCCGGGCAACGTCGCACTGCGCTGTGTGGAAGGCATGCCGGTCCCTGAACGCATGTGTGTGCGTGCCCCTGCAGGCGCCGTCTGCACAAACGTGGACCAGGGGCAGCTCCCGTCGCTCTGTCGTTCGTTTCTTTTAACCACTTGACGCCCTCCTCCTTCTCCCTCGCGATTTTCATTCCTCCTCCATCCAACACACCACAACGACGCACAACGCCTCCTTTGTTGCGCTTCACCACACTCTTTTCTACAACTCTTGCGCAGATATCCCCATCTCGCAGCCATTCCTTTGGACCGCGGTCCCACGCTACACCAACACTCCTTGGATTGATTGCACAACATAGACCACGTCGGCCACCTCATCTCAATCGACTACTATAGACTAGACATATACCCAGCATCCTTTGCGCCATCTATCCATTCCAACTAGACAGACATCTATTCAACCCGACAAGATGCAGATCACCAGCCTCCTCGTCCTTGCCGGCGTCCTCGGCGCCTCGGCCATGCCTTCTGGCCACGCTCACCTCCACCGCGCCGCCCATCAGCAGCGCGACCTCAAGTTCTACAAGGCCGAAAAGCACTTCCCCATCCCCATCCCTGCCGCCACCCCCTCCTCCTCCTCCGTCGCCGTTCCTTCCAGCACCACCGTTCCCGAGCCTGCCCAGTCCTCTGCGGCTGCTGCGACCGGGGACGACTCTTCTTCCGATGACGAGTACATTCCCTTCTGCGGCGAGAACAAGAACACCAAGCGCGTCACCTACGCTCAGATCATGTACACTGGCAACACTGGCGACGCTGACGGCTGCGAGTGGAACTCCAACTTGATGACCGTCCCCAAGAGCATCGCCGACAAGTACCACAACCGCATGTACTACACCAACGTTGCCGACGTGCCCTACCAGGTTGTTTGCGGCAACAAGATGGGTTCCGACCACGGCCTCAACGGCATGTTCAAGGTCGCTACCAACAAGCAGCTCGTCTTCACCCTCCAGCCTGGCGAGACCCAGCTCGTCGTCGCCGCCGCCAACACCCAGGGTGTCTGCGCTTTCTCTGCCGAGGAGGTTCCCACCACTTCGAACGGCCAGTTTGCCGGTAACTGGGCCGAGTTCGACTTCCAGAACAGCAGCAACGGTGGCTGGTCTGGTGCCGACTGCTCTTCTCTCGTTGCCCAGGCTGCCGGTATGGACGTTCCCGGCTGCCAGATTTGCGGCCACGACACCTGCTCCACCATTCTCCCCGGTGGCTTTGGTACCAACGCCTACACCAAGGGTATGGAGGCTGAGGACGGTGTTGGCCTCAACATCGCGAGCGGCCAGCAGGTCACCCTCAACATCAAGGTCGGCTACAGCGGCAAGGACTAAACATTTCGTTCCCGAAATATAAACCTTTGTCTCTGATTCATGACGATGATCGATGGTGCCTTGTAGGCAGCCTGATTTATGGTGGTTCAATGTGGTCCTTCCTATCTTGCTTTCTTGTTATATACTTCATGAAGGGGCGGCGTGGTGTGCTTGGAAAATTGGTGCTTCCCCGGCGAGGGTACGGGCTACGTTATCTAGGCATTTGTTAATTCAATACCGTTTTTGATGACTCGAATCTATCGTTGGTCGTGTGTTGATATTCGTAATCTTCAACAAGTCCACCCCATCGCCTACATGCGGCATTCCTGTTTGCTGCAAGATCATGCTCCTGTGCGCCGGCAATGCTAACAAACAGCAACCGTGCCACGCCACAGATAGAACTGCGCGGCATTTGACACCCACCACGCATGGCTTCTAAATATACTAGTATCATCGCTCGAATTCGAGAATCAACCCTACGCGCAACAGGGATAATTATGCCGATCAAACCCAAAATAAAAGCGCACATGGCGCCATAGGGTTCCACGGCCCAATTCCCGCTCTGGGGGCCGGCCTCCTGGGGGAATTGTAATCAATGCGAACCAAGACATAAAAACACCAGAATCCATCCCGTGGTAGTTGGAGGATCCGATGGAGTAATTGTTGGTGGCACAAAGTGAAAGCGGGGTTTACTGTACGTATTCCGTCCCTTCCGTTCCTACTGCGGAGTCAGGTTGTTATGCTTATTTCAACCTACAGCCGCCCCCCTTTGATGTCCCGGCGGTTTCTTGAGATGAATCATTATCAACGACGGGAGTCTCCTCAAGATTCGTTGGCTTGATAGTTCCTTGTGCTTGTGCTCCTTAGTTCGCCTTCTTTTGGGCTTTTATTCACGAGTCCCCTCCCTCTTGAAAATAACAGCGGGGTTGGATTGGAACCGACCTGAAGCTTGACACCACGTCACTGATTGATGTCTTATGTTCTGTGTTACCTCTGCTTGCGTGATGACGTTCTTGGAGGTTATTGCTGTTGGCTGCTGACCACCAGCCGTCAATCTATTCCCATGCATCAGCGTTATAGCACAAGTCTGCATTCATCGCATGACGTGCCTGACGCAAGGCAACGAAGGTACTTTATCTTACCTTAGTAGCTTTATACCCCCTCTTATTTTCCCCTCTAAGCGGACGATGTATACCCACGCGCGAGTGGATGCATAAGTTCTGGTAGTGAAAGCACTTTGTGCTTACATCCGGTCAGGTATTTAATTAGCCAATAATAAACTGCGAAGCTGGCATCTCTCTTTGTGTCGAAGCGTGCATAGTGTCTGAATGTTGCTGTGCATTTTGCATTGTGTGTTGCTATCATATTTTACATCAGAAGCGCCTTCAACATGCTTTTTGTCACTTTCCCCGCGTCTTGTGACCCATGAAAAAGGGGATATCGAAATCGTTTCAGTTTCCGCTCCTCACTGGTTCTTTTTTTGTATTACAGTTGCACAATTGTTGAATGACACGTGGGACTATGTTTGAGGGTCGTAATTCGAAAGACGTGTGATGAAAGTGCTTTTGTGCCATGATAGGATATGCAAGTTTGGAATTATTTGCTTTGAAGGCGTACAGATGTCAATGGAAAAGAGCATCCTGCTACTGATGCTAATGCCTTTCCTTCAGACCAGAGGCTCCAACACAAACGAGAACTTCATCTCCTCAACCTTGACGAGCAAATCCTCCCTCACACCCGGCCCGCAAGCTGCAGTGCCCACACCCGCAACCTTTGCGTCAAGCCTCAACAGCGTAGCATCCTCTTCCACGAGATCGCATGGATGTTTTGCCTCTTCTAACGCCTTTGCGCTGTGTCTCGTCGCTACAAAGCTGAAATTCCTCTCACAGTTGTCAGACCAGTCACCGTACCCTGCTTCAGCTCGTAGCCCGGTCCCTTGAGGCTCATGGATGGCTACCCACCTAGTACCCATGCGGTTGCCGTTCTCCTGTGGTACCTCATAAGGGGTCTGAAGATCAGCGACGTGATCCACTGACCAAATTCCGAGGCGTTGGGCAGTGCGCTTATCAGGATAGGATTCTCCCGGTCCTAGGCCGAACCACTTCACGGCATCGAGACGGCGTGAGAGACGGAGATCAAAACCCACACGAGGGACGTGGGCTGGGAGGGTGTTGACGTAGTCAGAAGACTGAGGTTTCAGGGTTATCGAGATGTACATGGCGCCCAAGTCAGTGATTTTGTAGATTGTATGTGCAAGGTACCCCCAGGAGAGAATTGGCGGGGAATGAAACGTTTTTGTTGTAATTACGACCATCGCAGCAGTGGCAGTAACGTCGAAGAAGCGGAGCTGGCTAGTCATAGCATGGACACCGAAGCGCTTCCAGTACGGAAGGGAAATGGAATTATCATTGTCGGTGGGTGGACGCCAGAAAGACGGGATAATGGCCGCGCCAGTTCGCGGGTTGGGTTCGAGAAGGGGAGTACCGCCAGTTGTCCAGCTGGTCATATAGCCTTTTGCCTTATCGAAGTTGATGGTGAAGTTATGTCCAGTAATGATGGTTAGAGTGCCAGATGATTCGGATCGGAGTGGAAGCCGATTCGTCAGTCTTAGTAAGTAGAAAGTCGAACCATAGCAAATTCGACTAGACCCGAGTTGAAATTGAGCCCAAGCAACTTCCTGTCCCTCTTTCGCCCATGCTGTCGAGCTTTTCAGGCGGAATGAGACGCTCAACCACATAGGTAGATGTAACGGCAATGGTCGCCTTAGACTCAGCTCGATGTTCTTTGATGATCGTGGGAGTATATGTGGCAGTTCCATGACGCCAGCGCTATGCAAGATGGTACTAGGGAATGCAAATTTGTTAGTGCCTCGGCGTCAAGTTGGTCAAGGGGAAGTTGACAGGATTTTACCTAGTGGTGTCCATAAGAGATTCAACTTTCCAAGTCGCGGTCAAATGATTAACTGAGACAAAGTCGTAAGAGTTCGTGATCCTCAGCTTACAGGCCACATCACTATAGTCAATCAACTCGGCTTCTATAGGCTGATACACTTTCTGAAGCTCGAGTAGCCCAGGCGTCGGTTGATGAGTGCTGTACAAAAGACCGTCCATGACAAACGTCCCGTCATTAGGAACATCGCCGAAATCACCTCCGTAAGCATAATAGGACTTTCCATCAGGGTCTTCTTTCCATAAACCGTGGTTAGCCCACTCCCATATGAAGCCTCCTTGAAGACGAGGGTAGGCGCGGAATGCCTCTTCGTAATCCTCGAGCCAGCCCGGTCCGTTTCCCATTGCGTGCGCGTATTCGCAAAGCACGATGGGCTTCTCAAAGGTGCCATCAGACCTAACGCCTTCAGTCTTGGCGAGGCTGATCAATCGCTCAACGGATGGATACATGTATGAGAACATGTCTGCAGACTCAGCATGAGGGTCTCCTTCATAGTGGACTAGCCTTGTAGGGTCGATATCTTTCGCAAGCTCGTACATGGCTTTGTGGTTTTGGCCGTAGAAAGCCTCGTTGCCCAAGGACCAGATAATGACAGAGGCGTGATTCTTGTCCCTGTGTATGAGCTGGGCCATACGATCCAGGTACGCTGCTTTCCAGGACGGGTTGTCACTTGTAAACTTGGCGGCATGACCGAAAGTAAGCTTCTTTCGCTCTTCGTAATCCACCTCTTCAGGTATATCTAAGGGCCGTGCAATGGCATCGTAGAATCCGTGACATTCGAGGTCTGCCTCGTCTATGACCCAAAGACCGAGCTCGTCAGCAATGTCCAGAAGCTTTGGGTGCGATGGGTAATGGCTGCATCGTAGCGCGTTGATATTGTGTCTCTTCATAAGCAAGAGATCCTTTCTGATGAAGTCCAGCGGTACAGCACGTCCAAAGGAAGGGTGATGGTCATGTCGATTGACGCCGCGAAATCTGACGGGCTTCCCGTTGACACAGATCAGTCCGTCCTTCAGCTCAACCTTGCGAAACCCGACTCTTTGGTTAACCCTATGGACAATTGAATCGTTGACCACATGCTCTATCCGGACTGTGTAGAGATTCGGGCTTTCCGCTGTCCATTGGTCAACATTGTTGATGGGAATCCTGAGCATCACCTTTCTGCTGCCAAAACCCCAGTCTTCTGCACAGCCGACAATATCTTGGTTGTGATCCAGAACTTCTACTTCTATCACCGAGCGAGAGTTTGTTTTGACATCGATCTCGGCAATGAGTGTTCCATTTTTGTATTCGGCGTCGAGATCTGTCCGTAAGAACCAGTCCTCGATGCGCGTTTGGGGGAAGGCCAAGAGTTGTACGTCGCGGAAGATGCCCGAAAGCCACCACTGATCCTGGTCTTCAATGTATGAGCCATCTGACCATTGGTAGACCCGGACAACGAGCTCGTTGGGACCGTCTCGGTTGATATATTCGGTTACGTCAAATTCGGAAGGGTTCCTGGAACCTTGAGCGTACCCGATGAGAACACCGTTGACCCAAATGTGGTAGGCACTGTCAACGCCGTCGAATCGCAAGCGGAGCTGGTTAGTCTCGCGCGTTTCTGGTACGAAGAAGGAGCGACGATAGGTGCCAGTGGGATTTTCCGAAGGCACAAAGGGCGGACAGACGGGAAATGGGTATTGGACGTTGGTGTAGTGTGGGATACCGTGGCCTTGAAGCTGCCAATGGCCAGGAACTTGAATGGTAGTCCACTGGTATTTTGCGTTGTGCTTGTCAGCCGGGTTTTGGCCATTTTCTGCGGTCGGGTCTGGAGCAGCTAGAGGACTCGAGGCGTAGTGAAAGTCCCATTGGCCGTTGAGCGAGAGGGCATCCTTGGGAATGTAGTATGTCCGTGGAGGCAGAGTGTTGCGCCGGAAGACAGACTCATTGCAGTAGTCGGGTGTGCCGTCGACCTCTTCAAGGGGGATGCCGATGCCCCGAGAGCGGGAGGCCATTATTGCGGAAACGGCAGCTCTTGGGGTTTGGGAGAAGGACGGGGAACAAAGAGTGAAGGATACGAGGTGGTGTTATCGAAGGGAAATCTCAAGCGCAAGAGAGGATGCCAGCCAAGTGGCCAGGTGTTTATTTTCCAGCAAGCCGAGACAGGCCATCTTGTTCTGTGTCTTCCCGCATCAAGTACCCGGTCATCGACGTCGGTTCCAGTGCAACGCCGCACGTTCTTCCCTGGTGTTTTGGCTCGTAATCATTGAACAAGGTGAAAGGAAGGCGAGACTCGTTGAATGAGGCAGTAGTACACTGCGACCCTGTGACCCCGCATTCTTCTGCATAGATGCCTACATGGAAAGTACATGCTACCTCCGTAGTGGCCCATAGACCTAGGTAAGTGAGTATCTTGCACCAATCAAAGTTGTCAGTAGAATGAGTACACGCGGTTCAGGTTGGGAAAGTATTCTTCCTTCCCAAGCTGTTTGTAGGTGAAGTAAGGAAGGTGCAGACATGAGAAAAGATGGCTCCGTCCCGTCACCAGAAGAAAGCGAAGAAGCTAGCCGTTAAGGGTTAGCACATCAGTTCATGAACAGCTCACTGTTTGGATGACTGGGGGGAAATGCGGGGGAGGCACAAATTGTCGGGGAAGTCGGAGCCGGCCCAATTGTGGAAGGAGATTGGTTGGTGCGGTTGGGTGCTTCAACATGCAGGCACTGCGCTCCAAAATCGCTTCTGTTCTCCAACTTGCACTTTTGCTCCTTTCTTCACTCTTCTTGCTTGCAGCCCATTCCAGCTGCTATAATCTCTACCTAGGTACTGTACAGCAATGGCACATTGTCAAGGCCTTTGCTGGGCTCACATTCAGCCGTTTGTTTGATTCCTCTCCTTCGGCAGAGTGACAGATTGGGCAACACTACCAGTCACCAGTACCCCAACAGAATCATTGCCTCGTCCATTTCCTCACTCGCTGGTCATCCCAATGTTCTGAATCGCCACCACGGTCTTCTCACACCATGGATAGGGATACCTGTGCTACCAGAGCTATGCGGACGAGAGTCCAGCCTCTCCAGGTTCGGAGGAAAGGGGACCGAGACCGACCCTGTCACCGTTTCCCCAGATTTGTTCCCCAGATTCGCCATCACAATGCACCTAATGTCTGGGGCCCCAGACCAACCCTGGTTATGACACCCTTGGCAGCCACAACCTCCAAGTTCCCCTTCGGCACGGCAGCCTAGAAAGGTGCTGACGGGTGCAAAAGCAACATCAATCAGCATGCAGGGCTGCGCCAATTCAAGAAGCCTGGACTGGTCCAGGACGGTGGAAGCACATGTAACGAGCTCATCACTGCTTTGCCATCGTGGTACAAAAGGGCACGATGATCTCTTCGCTTTCCGCTTTGGAGAGGTGTCTCTGGTAACTTCCAATTGCTCTTTCTCAGCATAACTCCCTATCAGCCAGTCAATATGGCTCACAGCATAAATGAAAAGGAGGCCATGGGTGCCCATGACGATGCCTTCCCAGAATCCGATGTTACTGTCCAGCTGGCCCATGATGTCGACAACACAAAGTACTCGCCCTGGTCCAAGAGCATGTTCCGCCTCTACCTTGTCCTCGCGTGTGCCTACCTCTGCGGATGTCTCAATGGGTACGATGGAAGTCTGATGGGAGGCTTGAACGGTATGAAAGCCTACCAGAACTACTTCCACATGTATGTGTTCATCGGCCATGACACCCATGAGTGATACATCAGCTAACCTCTTGGGTTCTTCCAGGTCCACTGCAGGCTCAGGGACCGGCCTTGTTTTTGCCATGTATAACATCGGCAGTGTTGCTGCCGTTTTCTTCACCGCCCCTGTCAACGACTGGTTCGGGCGTCGATGGGGCATGTTCACAGGTGCTCTTGTCATTATCATTGGCACTTGCGTCCAAGCCACGACACATACCAAATCCCAGTTCCTAGGCGGTCGCTTCGTCCTCGGTTTCGGCGTCAGCTTCTGTTGCGTATCAGCCCCTTGCTATGTCAGCGAGATGGCTCACCCCAAGTGGCGCGGCACCCTGACAGGCTTGTATAATACGACCTGGTACATTGGCTCTATCATCGCTTCGTGGGTTGTCTATGGTTGCTCCTATATCGAGAACAACAAGGACGCGTGGCGGATTCCCATCTGGTGCCAAATGATCACCTCCGGAATTGTGTGCTTGGGAGTCTTTTGGTTGCCCGAGAGTCCCAGGTGGCTCATGGCTCAAGACAGATACGAAGAAGCTGCCAAAATCCTGGCCACCTACCACGGCGAAGGCCGGCTCGACCACCCCCTAGTACAGCTGCAACTCAAGGAGATGGCCAACCAGATCTCGTCAGAGGCATCCGACAAGAAGTGGTACGATTATCACGAGCTTTGGAACACTCACTCCGCCCGTCGCCGCCTTATTTGCGTCCTCGGCATGGCCTGCTTTGGTCAAGTCAGCGGCAATAGCTTGTCCTCCTATTACATGGTCAACATGCTCAAATCAGCCGGTATTACCGATGAGCACAAGGTATTGGCGCTGAACGGTATCAACCCAGCCTTGTCGCTCATCGGCGCCGTAACGGGAGCACGCATGACCGATGTCGTTGGCCGCCGTCCTCTTCTGCTCTACACAATTGTCTTCTCTTCCATCTGCTTCGCCATCATGACGGGTACCAGTAAACTCGCAATGCCGGGCCATGTTGGTAACCTTGACGACGCTGATACTCAAGCTCTCACCCCATCCCAACGTGCTGCCGCTAACACCACCATTGCCTTTATCTTCATATTTGGCATTGTCTTTTCTTTCGGATGGACGGCCCTGCAGTCCATGTATATTGCGGAGACACTCCCCACAGCTACCCGCGCAAAAGGCACTGCTGTCGGAAATTTCGCATCCGCTGCTTCGTCTGTCGTTCTTCAATATTCCTCTGGGCCTGCTTTCGAGAAGATCGGGTACTACTTTTATCTCGTTTTTGTGTTTTGGGACCTCATCGAAGGTGTCGTGATCTTCTTCTATTTCCCTGAAACCAAGGATCGTACCCTTGAAGAACTCGAGGAAGTGTTCTCGGCTCCTAACCCGGTCAAGAAAAGCCTGGAGAAGAGGAGTGCGCAGACAGTATTGAACACCATGGGCGCGCCGGATGACGAGAAAGTTACAATCTAGTTTGATCAATGGGACTTGCGCGTGATTAAATGGACGTTAAGCCCATGATTCAAATGGCCAATCAATATTTTCATCAGCCCAACCTTCACACGTTGATGTGATTATAAGAGAGTACACTCGGGTTCGTGCTACAGAGTTCAACTACGGGCCGTAAGCGCCTGGCCTTGCTCATTATGAGAGTGTTGAGCACAGTCCATCGTAGAGTCATGGCCCAATAATTTCCGGACGAGAAGTTCCAGCTTTCGTATACCACGACGGCTTTATGGATTGATAGGGTCCGAGCCTGGCATGGTAGCCTGCTCCTGTAAGTTACCTCCTCCCCCCAAATCATTCCCAACCCCAGACCCCTTGTCTCCGTAGTCTCCGCTTTCCCCGCAATATTAGGGGCAGGGGGGTATGGCTGGAATGTCCGGGACCATCGCGTCCCTTTTCCCCCTTTTCACCTCTTAACGCCGGGTCTTAGTTATCAGTCCTTTGAAATCGGACCGCTTCGGATCAAACTAAAAGTGTTGATAGCCTTCAACGCCGATCCTGCATGGAAGTAATGATGATGCAAGATGGCCATGGAGAACGACACCAGTAGCGGGCCATCAAGGAAGCGGCTCAGAACATCCCACGCAGTAAGTTTTGCTTTTTTCCTCTGAATTTCGGCCCCATGTTGCTTGGAGGTAAAGAGGTGATCCGCTTATGCAACTTACTATCCAAGTGTGACCTGTGCAGGTCCAGAAAAATAAGGTTTGTTGATCCTCTTATCGTTCCCTTGGCTACCCGCATGTGCATCCTGCAAAGGTGCCATGCCGCTGTGGTGGAGGTGTTTTGAACCTGGAATTCAGGCCGCTTACTTTCCTGATGATAGATGTGACGGTAATGCGCCATGTGCGGCTTGTGTCGCAACTGAAAACGACTGCACTTATGGATCCGAAGCCAACTCGTGAGCGATACCATCACGTCTGTCATTCCTCAATTAAACAGATCACTGGCTGACAAAATAAACCACAGGAGGGGAAAGAGCGATCTCATTCTGGAAGGGGTGTTGCGTGTTGAGAAGTATCTTCACGAGCTAAATGCAAACATTGTCAGCTGCCCTTCTCACTCGTCGCACCTCCGGCACTAACATTTGTATACCTAGGCAGCATCGCCACACTTCGTCAACCGCAGTTCTTCTCATCCTGTGTTGTCACCAGCGATCGGCTCGTCAGTTGGTAGAAGGAGCTTCTCCGGGGGCTCCTTAACAGACCTGCGCATTACACCTCGGCCTACCCTCTGTCCACATCCGGACGAGCTAGACAACGCTAACAACCTGGAGAATGCTGTTCTCGAATCACGGCACACTTCTACAACGGAGTCGATACTACAATGGCCCCATTTCGACGTCTTCCCCAGTCTTCGCAAGGACTACACTTCCATCTTCCACCTTGAGCAGTCTCGTCCTTGCATCAAGACGAAGAAAGGAAACATCCATCCGTACGTGACAGAAGAAGAGGTCGACAGCATTTTGGATGCCTTCGCGCATGCCGTCAACTTCTGGTATCCTACAACGTCAAGCAATCAGCTACAGAATGCTCGGGCACTCATCACGAACGGAAACTTTGAAGACAACGATGAGCTCCGCGTCTGCCTTGCTTTACTCGTTATGGCACTGGGATGTGCAAGCAAGGTGACGGCGGGCTTGATGGAAAGCGCTGCTGTCCCTGAGAGCGAACGGAGACGCAGAGCAACTTATCGTGCAACGGGCGATATGTATTTCGAGAGTGCGCTCAAGAAGCTTTACGTTGCCCACATGGATGTCAGCTCCATGGCCACACAGTGTCTTTTCTTCGTAGCGTGAGTTTCTTCGGCTTCAATGTGCATCAACCACCCTCCAAGATTTCCAGCTCTCTTTCTGACTAACACTGATCTCTCAACCTTCAGTCTTTACTTTGCCTTCCTTCGCCGTCCCCTCCAAGCATGGGAGTATATCTCCGCCGCAGCCACCAAGTGTCTCCTTCTCCTTTCATACTCTTACCAAGATTCCACTTCCGAAGATCAAGAACGTATCCGCCGCATCTTTTGGTCCTGCTACATCCTCGAATCGGATTACTTAGCTGAGCTCTCCAACTTGCCGCTATCAGGTATTGCTCGTATTGAATCCTCAGTTCCGCTACCAGGTGCAGGGTACAGCACGCATTCGAACGCCCAAGAGGAGGAGCAGAGCTCTTTGTACTTTTTGGCTTGTATCTCGATGAGGAGGCTGCTGAATCGAGTACATCAGCTACTGTATGCGAGGGAAACAGGCGCGAGTTTGGATGATAACCGGTTCCCTGGCATTGTGAAGGAGCTGGATCATCAGTTGGATGAGTGGAGGACTGTGCTGCCAGAAGCCTTTGCTTTCGAGGTTGAGTGGCCGCCAGTCGGTGCGAAGCACAATATCATCGGATTAAAGACGGAGCATGGGGGGTTCCTGAGGCAAAGGTATCTCACTTGTAGGAGTGTCATCTACCGGCCGTAAGTTACAACTCGTTCGCTCCCATCAACCGAGCCTGGAAGATACCTAGCCACTAACCTTCTCCCACAGATATCTTATGTGGATGCTAAGCAGTTCGAATGCCGGCTCCAGCCCTGTAACCAGCCCTGTAACCAGCCCAAATATAACAGCCGGTGGATCCCGTGGCATCCAAGGTCCCCTGGCCTCCGTTCCAGCAAGCAGCACGGCCGTCGGCGTGAACAGTACCACTACCCCGTCAGCTATGAACATAAAGCTAGCAGAACACGAAGTCCTAGCTAACTGCAAGTCTTGCCTGGATGCATGTTTACTTCACATCTTGAACCTTAGGGGGTTTTCTCAGACCTTATTAGTTGATACGTGGATCTGTTCACTTTCGTGCGTCACTCTCCTTTTCCTTTCTTATCCTTTCTTGTGTCTTATTTCCATACGTGATTCGATTCGGATCTAGTACTGACACGGAGAAAAACAGAATGGCAGGCGCAATGCTCGTTCTCTTGGCCGCCTGCCGGATATCTTTGCTCAAAGACCTCATCAGGCCCGAGATCCTCCAAGCGGGAAGCCACTTGAGGGAATTGTTGGTAGGATGGCAGAAAGTGCAAGGAGATCCGAGCTCGCCCAGCGTGGATCAAAGCGTGCATATTATTAAGGAGGCCGAGAGATTCATTAGACAGGTCTATAAGGGTGAGAAGGATGAAGAGGAAGGCCGCATTGAGGAGTAAGATGGCAGCTCGCATGGACCGCGAAAAGAGGCCGATCTCAAAATGACAGAAAGTTGACCAAATTTCATCAAAACGGCAAGATGGCCGAGCGGTCTAAGGCGCCACGTTAAGGTTAACCCTTAATCCGAGATATCCGTGGTCCGAAAGGGCGTGGGTTCGAATCCCACTCTTGTCAAATTCAATTATCTCCACTTCGCTGAAGTCGGGTCATTCTCTTTTTCCTATTCTAGCTTTCTTTTTTACTTTTAGTGTTTCTATCATCTTGTTTTCTTCCAAATTTTTTTTCTTTTTCTTTCCAATAGGAAAGATAGGAGGAAGGCGGCTCCTAGCCTTGTACTTCCCTCTAGTAGTGTGGTTGCAACCTATTTATATTATATACTGTGCTAATAAAGGACCGGACGGCTAGTTATATTGCCTTGTCTTTTACTTTCAAAAGGCAAAAGAGTGTTAAGCCTGGCTAGGAATACGGGAAGAATGAAAATGTCTTACGACGTACTGGACTCCCAATAATCTAATGCCCCTGTTACCTAGGTATTCATTAGTACCTCTTCACCTATTCGCATTACAGCTGGTCACTCGTGGTATGGGTAGTTGTACCCATTAGTAGGTGCACCTACCACTAGAGGTAGACCAGCGTCTAGTTGACATCGCAGCAAGAAATCTTCTCAACAAGAACGCCCTCAACATTTGTCCTGCAGTGGTCACGTTAAGGCGGCTGGCAGCAGTTCTGGCCGTTGGCCTTGCACCACTCGCTGAACTGGATAACCGCGTTGCCGGCGGTGCCGATAGTGCAAAGGAGGAGCGAGTCGCTCTCGTGAGTCCCATCGGCAACTTGGCCGACGGCGCGCAGGAGCTTCCAGTAGTCGTAGTACTGGCCCTTTTCCGAGTCGTTGGTGTAATAGGATCACCTTCAGCTTGAATCCGGACCTTTTTCATTACTAAACTAACATCGTGGAGGGATATGACCATACAAGGCTTGAAAGTGTTTACCTCCAAGATTTCTCGCTACATTTATCGAGTTCTTCTGGTCTTCAACGAAGGAGTACCTTGTTAAAGATCTCCGAACTCATGACTTGAGCAATTCTCGGCGAGTCGGTTCTCACCAGCGATGGAAAGAACCAGCGCCTCGGTCTCGGCAGCACACAGCCCTACACAGATGACACTGTAGCTTTCTCGGTACAACTGAGTGAAGAAAAGGTTGCTGGTAAGCGTGGGGGTTGAAGCCAAGTTCAGAGCATGTTGCAACGAAAAGACACACCACCCTTGTCACTACTCGGCCTCCAATTCTCTATGTATAGTCCTACGAGACCCAGTTGGTCAGCCCTGCGCTCCGGCTATTGCCTGGCTTATGGTGATGCTATGTTATATAATAACCCGTCAATTGGGAACCGGGCTACCGAACTTTTTATGCCCTTGTTGGGTGCCTTTTGTTATGAGGAAAGAGCTAGGCGGATTGTGTAATATACTGCAGCGGCAACGGATGAAAGCCTAGCAAGCGTTTCCGGCCTCTATCGATTAGAGGTATTATTAATAAATTCGCACTTATAGGCAGTTCGCAGTTCTCTCAACTTAACCTCTTCAGTTCCTCTTTGAGACTCTGGCAAGCAATTCCAAATCTATGACTTATACGCGAGTCATATTCACAGTGTCAAAGTCACTAGGGTAAAAAAGGGAAGAAAAAAAAGGATGACCCCTGCTCTGCCCTCCCGAGCATCCATTTTTTTGTTTCGGCCACAACTCCACTACGGCAATTTTGACGTTCAAAACAAGAAAAAGAGAAGTTGATGCGGTTTGTGTGGATCGAACACACGACCTTCAGATTTATGAGTGAAGTGGACTTCAGTCTGACGCTCTCCCAACTGAGCTAAACCCGCCTTGTTGAAATTTTGGCCAAGATGTTGGGTTTATAGTGATGGGTGGAATGAAGTCCTGCTATGCCGTACCNCTATGCTGAAGTGGTGATGCGCTGCTGCGAGTGGTGAGTCTGGAACAACTTTGAGATAAAAGATGGAAGGAATGCTTGGTTCTTTCTATTGCACTGATTCAAAGGGGATGATTGTTGGGGGAAAGAGGGACTTTGAGACTTTTGAGAAATTTCGAAATTCGGACCCGACCCAGCTTTCAAACCAAGGATACTTACCTACTACCTCTATATTACAACGCCTACCACCCCTATAAGAAACATGCATTGGCTAGAAAACATTGATTGTGGTTATTGTCCAACAACTACAACGCATGTCTGGAAACAGATTTTCCCACTACGGTAGACAGCTTCTTCCACCAATCAGCCGGCAACTCTACGATCTTTGCTCACTTCATCTCAATATCAAGCCTAATATCTGCTCTCTGGCGATCCAACACTCCCAGCAAGGCCTCTTTGGCAGTTTGATATGCTTCGGCATGGTTGCTCTCTCTGCTGCTGAGAGGGTCTGGTACTTGCCCGCTTGTTCGGATTCATCTCGAGCATACCTGATGTCGTTGATCTTCTTTTGTTCTTCCTCCAAGCGCTTCATGTAGCTTGCCAGTCGCTGTTGGCCCGCCTCGAGTTCCTGAGCGCCCTGCGTCCCCGCGACTCGCTAGCAGGATTAAGAAGTACAAGTTGCAGGAAAACTGGGTTGTGCCGTGGTCTCGCTGGTTCGAGGCGGTTATTGACAAGGTTAACCCTTCCTCTCTTTTTTTTTTTTTTTTTTTTTTTTCTTTTCTCTTCTTTTCTCTTTTTTTTTGGCGGTTTCCTTTTTCTCGTTTTTTTTTAGAGTTTATTTTTCATTTTTTTTTTCTTGTGTACGTTTGATTCTTGTCAAGAGCGTGGGCTGGAGTGGTGTCTTCATTGGGTCTATGAACAACCTGTGGTCGATGGGGCACCCCAGCCCACGCTCCTGAATCTCCTTATCTCCCTCAGGAGTAGACTTCTATCAGCCGCTCGTAGTGGGCATACGGATAGGGGAAGGCTCTCGAGTTTTCCGGACTTCGACACGAGTAAAGAGGAAGGAAAGGGTGGTAAAGGGAAGAAGGATGAGGTTGAGAATAGTTTTTCTTTTCTTCTTCTTCTTTTTTTTTTCTCTTTTTCTTTTTGTCTTTTTTTTTTTTCTTTTTTTGTCTTTTTTCTCTCTTTTTTTTTGAGGTTTATTCTTTGAACCTTTTCTTCTTCCTTTTCCTTGTTTGCCAGGAGCGTGGACTGGAGTGGGTGTCTTCATTGGGTCTATGAACAACCTGTGGTCGATGGGGCACTCCAGCCCACGCTCCTGAATCTCCTTGTCTCCCTCATGAGTAGCCTTTTGGGCTGCAGAATCCGATATGGCCTTGGCCTGAAACTGTTCCCATGAAGCCTTGTCAGGCTCGGCGATGACGAACTCTCCGTCAGCATTGACCATGATGCTGGGAAAGCAACACAAAAAACACACAAAGATCGTTAGTGGTCTGGTCTTTGTTGTCCCGCTGGGTCGTGGCTTTGTCTGCTGTCTTGAGGAAGGATTTGGGAATGCCGGTGGTCCGCTTTACGCGGGGACGGTTGTCATAGTCGGGGTTGTCGTTGATTGGACCTCAAACGGCGCGTGTCGTCCAGCACGTACGGGCGCTGCAGGTGAATCCTGAGCAACGAGGGCGGTGGGCTGTTCATGGGCCTTTGCCTGATTCAACCATTCGCGGGTTACGGAGACTACGACGTATAGGACGCCCAGCTTGTGAGCGTGGTGCATGTGCTTGCTCGTAGCCAACAATGTCAGGCCGAAGAAGGTTACGAAGAAGAAGAGGAAGAGAACGATGACGAGAGGGGTAGGGTTGATTGACAGTTGTTGCTACTTGGGGACGTCGCTGGGCCACGGAACGGGGAGCAGTCTTTGGTTGGAGTTGTTGACTGGAGCAGGTCAGTGACTGATCGTTAAAAGAACGGGTTTCGCATGGAAGAAGGGTGTGTTGTACTTACAACCACAACGTTGTAACTGAATGTGCCCGGCATGCCTGGGATGGAACATCTATGGCATGCAGTTCTGAGGGATCATGCCATTCATGCCAGGCATACCGGACATTTCCATCCAACACCTACTCCAGTCCGTCATGGCTTGCTGCTGGGTTTGTTGGGCCTTCTGTTGCATGGCCCCGCAGAACCAGGAACATGAACGTTGGCAGCGTGAGGAGCCATGGTGTTGGTGGTGGTCTATTTCTGTCAGTATCGTTTCAGATTTCCATCACAAACTGGGGTTGACGGCGTAGAAGGAGCCCGGATTATCGATCTTGAGGGCAGAAGGAGAAGATCATGAAGATCGTAAAGATGACGGGAGAAAGGACGTGATGAAAGGAAAGCGAAGTTGTAAGCTAATGATGACGGATTTAACTCACGTTACCTCTACATCGGGAGAAACATTGAGCTCGGCGAGCAAAGCACAGTCAGCCCAGACGAGGAGCTTGAAGATGAGGGTGGCAACCAGGACGATGCCAGGCGAGGGTGAGATGGCGTCGATGGCGTCGACGATGCCGGCAGCAGTGAAGATGCTACTGCCAACGATAGGCGGCGACAATGATCTTGTCCACCTTGCTGGTTTACGACTTGCTTTGTGAAGGAGAGGAAGAAGTAAGAGCGAGTAAACTGCGTGGAAAGAAGAACGAGACGGGCTACTCGAGGGTTTGTTATGTGAGAAAGGGAAGAAGGGAAGAGGAGATAGGTGGAACGAGACGACTGGAGAATTTGTGCTCGTGTAGAAGAAAGAATCAGTGCGGGGCTTGGGGCTGTGTTTGAGCTCAGAACCCCTCGGCTGAGAAAGAAAAAGGGAGTTGTTGTTGCCTAGAGGTAGTCAACGTGCGTCCGAACTGCAGTCTGGCTTTTTGATGACGCGTTGCACGGCTCTACAGTCCTCAGATGTAGAGCAAGGCCAGTGGCAGTCAGGGATCGAAGGTGGAGGGGTTCAATTTAGTCACAGAGCTCACGGGCAACAAGATTGTGGCTGTGCTACCTGCTTGTCGGATGAGTACCTCTATGGATTGCTCCAGATGACACCTAGGAGGCTGGGCCATTCCGTCTGATATCAAGTGCAGCAGCTGACCTCTTCCAGGGCGGTTCTCGGGTACCTGTAGGATTATCTGACCTTTCCCTCCAGGAAAAGGAAAAGAAGCAAATGGGGCTACAGTTTCAATGTTGACGGAACTGACTGGCATGGAAGATTGGTGGCATGGATATGAGCTGCAGAGCTAGACCATTAACCCCAATGGTATGACGAAGCACATGCTTCGAGGCTCAAAGCCCGAGGGCGGTGGGAGTCAAGTACCTGAAAATGGGCAGTTGAGTGAGATGGGGACCGGCTTTCGCCAACTCCCATTTACCTTCACACGACGCAGAGAGCCTCACTTCCTTGGAGGAAGGAACGGCAACAAACACAAGTGAGGTAGATAGAGGTACTTTTCCAGATTTCCTACCTGATAGCCCAGCGAGCCCTACCTGATTTGGGAAGAACACTGTGAACTTCCAATTTGTGTATCTTATCTGCACGAACTGATCAGTGAGCTCATTTGATGTGTTCACTGCCTGGGTAGAGGAATAAGTAGAGGTAGACAGGTAGAGGACTGGAAGCAAACCGGGAGTAGAGCAGGACACTCGGGTTTCTTGAGCGGGCAGAATAAACGACTGGCTTCACATTGAGACTTGAAGCAAACATCAGACTTCGCAGGCCGGGCTTCCTATTTCATTCTCGATCCTCTGGGATTTGAAATTGTGAAGCCAAAAAGAAAAAAAGAAAAAAGACGGAAACCGACTCACCCTTCATTGCCTTCAATGGGAGCAAGTCGTCCGTGACATGACATACTTGAGTGTAACAGCAGTTTGTCGACATAAACCTCATATCCTGAGCACGGAGATATGCTTGCCTACAGGTAGGATTAGTCGGAATGCATGCTTGGTCCCCAGCTGAATGCAGTGATTTCCTCTTTCTTGATTGTTACGAACGTGCCTGGGCATATGTGGTTGTGTACGTCCGAACCCAACCTCCTCCATCTTGACGTCTTGGACACTTCAGGCCATGGCCGCAAAGAGGCCTCCATGAGATCAATATTGAGTCTGTCAAGTAAAGCCCGGCATTGGCACATATGGGACCGAAGCTCTTGCCCAAGTAAGGCCGATTTCGGATTGGCGGATCTGATGCCTCAAGGCATATGCTTTTGCAGTCGAGAATAGTTTTGAAAAGGCGATAATGTAAGTTAAGGGCTGAATGATTGAGTTCGTTATATCCCACGTTGTGTGCCAGTACATGAGTGCAAACGCGGAAGGTGCGAAGCTTTATCAACACTGATCAACCGTAGAATTGCAAACATTTTGAGCACGATTGTTCGTTCCGGATACTGCAGACCCAGCGATCCACGAACGCCAAACGAGAATATGAGATGCATTCTAAAAAGGTAAAGTTCTCAAAACAAATCTTCGTAGGGCACGATTCTACTACGGCATTGCCAAAAAGGTTGTAGACAATTGAAATGGAAAGAGTCTCGTAGATTCAAAAGGTGAAAAAAAGAAGAAAGAAAATCAAGCCGCCCACGGCGAGACTCGAACTCGCAACATTCAGATCACTTCACTTGTTCGTAAAAGTCTGACGCGCTAACCAATTGCGCCACACGGGCTTGACTTTGCTAGGTTGACAAAATGATGCCGTCCATTTCCCTATAAGGCACAAGACGTCATTGTCTTTCCCCTTATCTGCTTTCCTAGCCAAGCCAAACCCTGCGTGCATCCCCTAATCCATGATAAAGCCTGCAGGCCGCGTGCAGTGCCGGTTGGCTGCTGAATTCTTTGTCTTTTACTCACTGTGTTTGCAATGTTTGCAATACGGTGTTGCAGCATCAATCCCTGGTGGTTGAATGACTGGGTGCCCGCCGGCGGGTGAGGTAGTGTAGTGGCAGGCACCAGCCAGCCCTCGGGCGGGAATGCATTCATGTCGTTGTCAGGCCAGTGGGTGGAGTATGATTGCAGGATGGTTTCCTGTGCAGCCATGCTGCAAAAGACGCCGAACACCGCCCGTCGGATCGTCAAGGTCATTTTTGGACGAGTTTCCACATGTGCAAAATGTGAACAAATTTTTAATGCCTATTTGTGAGCTTCCCCTCCATCCCGACATTGACGAAGAACACGGATTGGGAAAAAGCCGGAGGCGGGGAGAGCTCTAAAATCATCACCGTCATCCCTGTGCACTTCCTTTTTCATGGATCTTGTACGCAGTAGGCATAACAATCTTGCCGACCAACAAAACAAAACAATAACAAACAACGAAAACAAAGGGGCACGAAGGCCATCCGGCCGGCAATGCGCGACAAGCGACGAGCGGAGGGCGGAAGGCGGAAGGCGGAGAACAAAAACAGCAAACAAGGGTTCGGTGGGAGTTGAATTGGGCCCCTGGAATCCCGCGTGAAATCGGATGGATCAGATGAGGAGTCCTCACTGGACGCTCACGACAGTTGGGTTGCGCCTGTTTTGCGGGTCCTCCCTTCTGTCGCTCGGCTTTCCAAATTCGAACAAACCGAACCGCTTGGCCGGCAACTCGTTGAAAGTGGGTGAGCGTGCGACAAAAGCTTCGCAAGCACAGTGCAACCGCGAAGATCAGGGTCAAGTTGCGCAATTGTGTCCATGTCTGTGTCCGGCCTGACCAAGAACTGGAAGATAAACAGGACCCTGAAAAACACAAAAATCTTGTCCATGTCGTGGCACTATGCCTGGCCCGTGATAACCCAAACCGTCTATCTATGCCAACGACCGGCTTCTTGTCACCATGATTCCTCTTTTTTTTTTTTTTTTTTTTTTTTTTTTTTTTTTTTTTTTTTTAAAGAAAAAAAAAGTCTTTCCATCTTGAAATCAACGTCGAGCGGCGCAAGCTTATCATTGCGAAGAAATCTTACCCTGGCGCTACGACCGTATTATCGAACACCCGAAGACCTGCGCCTCATGACATAATTAAGGCTTCTCATCCAGGTAAGAAGCTGAACCCTTCCTTTCGAGTTTCGATAATTAACCTTGCATGGACACTGGCTTCGAGTTTGATTGTGTCGGTATTCTTGAACAAACGGAAGTTTCCTATTTACACAACCCCCCTCTCTTCCTCTTCCACGTCGTAATGATAACAAGCCAACTTGGCCCAAAATAGACAGACGAGACTCCGGACAACGCCATAGTGTAATGCTTCCCCAAGTCCATGTCCAGTAACCAAGCTCGTCGGCCAAGTGGTCGTTGCCTTGGCCAATGTATAGTGCATAATTCCCCAATAATATTTTCCATGCCACCCCAGAGCGAGTCGCGTATAAATGGTATCAAACTCTTAACCCATGTGAGGCAAAGGCGACTCGCAAAAAGAACAAAGAAAGAGAAGTTGAAAAGAACCCAAAACCCATGGTAGACGCCAATGGTTGAAACAACGGATAATGCGTAGGATCCGGATGCTCCACGATCAAAGCCGTGCAGACGTCATCCAGACCCTGAGCCGTTTGCGTCGTCGGAGAAAAAAAATCCGAGTCGGGAAAGAACCGACGCGTGCCGTCTTGAATCGAGTGCTTATGCAGGCACAACGGAACCTTCTCTTTCTGAAGATACACTCCGAGAAGATGGCCAAAAGATTCCGCGTTGTTGAGATCCACCAAGTCGGTATAAACGCTCGCCGCTTTTCCATATAGCCCCCCTGCTGGCAAATTCGAGTCGGATCATGTCGTAAGGCATCATAGCCTGAATTAGGTCCGTTCTTTTTGATGAAGCCATGTGCTTCGTGTCGAACATTGTTCGTCATCCCAGCTAAACAAACGTAGGTAAAGATGCTCGACGTCTTTCATTTCTTGGGTCGGCTGCTGGGCGCTGTGATCTTGCTAGTGCTCATAAGATCACCAATGTACTTTTGCAGGAACTTGTTATTGTTGTCGAGCTTGTTGTGTTCCTCTTTGACAGCCTCGATACGGTGGAAGAGGGCCAACAGCGAGTCCTGAAGCGCCTTGGCGTGCCTGTCATTCACAGTTAGCATACCTACCATCCATGACTGTGCGAGCGCCGTCATCGGCAGCCGGCATTGGCAGGAAGAACTCACCTTTGCAACTCTTCTCTTGCCTCCTTGCTCAGCATTTCGAGGTCCTGGCTCGTTCTCCTCGGGCTCATGGCCCTCACGTCGTCAGGCCCAAGCGTCATCTCGACCGGGCCAACCTCAATAGAGTCGCGCGGTACGATCATGGTCCCACTGCTCTTTCGGCTCGGCAATCGTGGTCGTACCGGGACTGGAGCATGGATGACTGGCTGCTCTTGCTGGTCATGTTGCTGATCGTCGGACGCCCCGGATGATGAATCTGACCACTCCATGCCGGATACCTTGCCCATGTGATTGTCCTCCATCATTGTCAATTACGAGTCCACGGCGGGCAGTAGTCCTGATATAGTCGTGATATCGCTGCGACCGGAAAGGGTCACAGGAGAGGTGTGTCGGTATGGATGGGACGAAAGTGTCCGCCTGTGGAGCGATTCCCTCTTGCGTCCGTCCTCTTGGTAAGGCGGTATCTATTTTTCTTTTTCTTTTTTTGCCACCAACGTGTCGTCCCGTGTGTCCAAACCAAAATGGACTGTGGTGGATGCGAATGGTGTCGCAAAGATAGAGTGTTCAAGGGGCAAAGGCGCTTTTTTTCCGAGCGAGCAAGTGATCGTAGGCACCCAAAAAAGGGGGAGGGGGGAAACTGGAAAAGGCTGCACGGGGCAGCAGCGAGGAAGCTAAAGCGTGGGTCGTGGGCCCGTGGGCTAAGTGGTCGAGGGTTGCCTTTTGCAGAGGACGGGCTGGGCCGAAGCAGAACCGACGACGTCAGGATATCGAAACGTACCCTACCCTCTACTTTTTTTTTTGTATAGGTAATAGGCAAAAGTCGGGGGGAAGTGGTGTAGTGATGAAAAAGACCCTAGTCGTTTGTTTTGGCCAAGACGTTTGCGGAGAGGTGTAGACGAGGAAGCTAGAGAAGGCGTAGTGTGAGCGCCGGGCCTGAGAGGGTCGCGGTGCAGTGCAGTGCAGTGCAGTGCTACATTCGCGCAATGAAAGACGAAATATGGTATGGGCAGGCAAAGAGGTTGCCAGCTGGTGGGTAGGTTGGTGGGTGTGCGGGATAATATGACAGGTTGAAAGACTTGAAGGTGGTGTACCAACCCTTGAGATAGCGAGCACCGACTGCTACGCGGTTTTGTGAAGGCTCTTGTGTTTCTGAGCTGGGACCCTGGACTGAGGCTCGCGTGGTGCTTGGTTTTGACCTTCTTTGCCCTTCTCTGCGGTTGTCCGAAATTATGCTGGCAGGATGCTGGGATGGGTCGATGGGATAACCCTGAAATTGGTGGGTTTGGTGGCAGAACAGGAACTGAACAGGTTCAAATTCGCAGACTGGGACGAAATGCAGACCTGAAAGGCCAGAGAGTCTGGAGAGTGAGGTGGACAGCGAAAAGACGGAGCAAAAGGAGAAATGGAGGCGGCGAGTGGACCCCTTGCTGGGTGGTCGACGGGGGCTGGTCAGGAGACAGCCTTGGACCTGTTTTTCTGCCGCGATCAGCGAGCTGTGCCTTGCCAACTTTGGGAGAGCTTTTTGACTGGCTGCAAAGGGCTGCTGTTCGGTGTGGTCACAAGAGCGACTGGAGAAGCTGTGTTGTGGCAGCTCGCTGGGGCAAGCCGCTCGTCGATCGGAGACCGGAGGGAGTGATGGAAAAACCACAGCATTTCAGAGATCGAATGGCAGTTTTGTGGTTGACGATGCGCCCCCCCCTGGGCCAAGCCCGACGGCAAGCAAAAAAAATAAAATAAAAGGATTGGCAGCGACCACCGCAAGCCTGCGGCAAGCCCTCTCACACCGCGACACTGGTGCACCACAACGCAAATAGGTAGTGTACGCCAACATACCTTTTTCCTTCTTGCCTTTCCTTTGCGTTTTTGTTTCCGGGCGCCTGTGCTCCCACTGTGCGGCGTCGTCTATTTCTTTGGAAAACCTGGGGCGCTGAACCGAGGAAGTGAAAGACGGGGAGATGCGGCGTGTTTTACGTGTACGCGAGCGAGCGAGTTGGGGGTCTCTCCGACACTGTAGAGCAGGACGACAGGCGGCGACTCGTATACTGCTACTTTGACAAATGGAAAACAAAAAGGGTATATCTCTTCTGCACCGTTCCCCAGAAGAGAATGAATCAATGGTGGTGAAGAGGCAGCAGTCAATTATGGGAACCGCATCAGTGGGGAGGCTGAGATTTGGGTGCAGATATTTTGGGTTTTGTGATTGTGGTGGTCGCCAAGGGAACGTGTGCCAGCCAGCGGGCAGAGGCTGCTTGCTGTCCCGGTGGGCACCGGGCTGTCCCCTCCCAAGTTCGAAGTGAAGGAAGAGGAGGGACGTGGAACGTAAACGTGGGAGCCCTGGGAAGAGGGGAGCCCGGGCCCCTGGGCGCAACGATGCCGTGGCTTGGACGGGACCACAAGGACCTTCCTTCTCTTTCGACTTTGCAAAATTTGTTTTTCATTTCCCCTCTGGGCCGACTTCCACGCCCCTTCCCTTTTGAGCGTTCGTCTCCACCTGCTTGCAGGGCCCGCCTTCACCAATCCCTGAGCCCGGAGTGTTGAGCGAGGTGCTTTCCGAAAAGGGGAGTTACGATAGTCTTGTGAGGGAGTGTCACTCCTTCCATAGAGACCTTCCAGAATGCATTGTTCACCAGTTTGGACCTGGCGGCGGATGTCCAAGCAGATAAGTATCGATCGAACTGATGGGGGAGGGCGCAACCAAAGACACTCTTGCAGTGGCAATGCAAGGATATCGTCGGATCGAACTGATCGATTTGGCATTTCGCATCATCCCATGACATGTTCATTATGCCCTTCCGGCAACGGCGTTGATGAGGCACTCGCAGGAGTCAGGTACAGAGGCAAATTGAAGGTAATGGTCATTGCGTACACAGTACACGAGGTATCAAACAGGTGGTAGCGGCGGCGGCAGCAGCCACATCTCGGCTCTATGAGGGAGGGACGTGTGGGTCTCACAAGCTGGTCTGGTACTAGTGTACATCTGGGTTGCATGCTCGAAAACCTCAGGCGGCCCCGTGGTGGGGAAACTGGGATAGTGAAAAAGAACGAATGATGGAGAAGTTGAAACCGAAACAAATTGGCACAAGCGGCAAGTCGCGTCGTCGTCGTTCACTCATCTTTCTGGTTAGGCTTCCCAATAATGGGACCTCCTACTGACACGAGCACTGGGTCACTGCTTCTCAGATTGCCGATCGGCATCGGTGACGCCACAGTGTGCCAATCTGATTGGCTCGTTCTTTCTCCGCAAACGACGGATTTTCTCAGCGTCAGACTCACTAACAAAGTACCTGGTACTTACTTAACGGGCACTCACAACGGTGGCCTGGTGCTGTGACTGAACGGGTCGCAACGAACAGCGGCAATCGGAGTCTTTCAACGAACCTAGGTGATATGTACAGATAATATGCCCTGTAGATTATTGTATAGATTTCGGGCATTATGGGGCAAAGTGTCACAGTCTTTACACTTGATAGGTTTTGGCATTCCATTAGTGGTCCTACACCAAATTACAGAATTGCGAATCCGGGCACCAGATTGCCCGGGTCCCGGGTGCCCGTTTACGCTTAGGCAAGGGGCTAATTTGTGCCTACTTGCTGAGGTTTGGATTTGTTGGGTCTGGTAGTGTACACATAGAACGCAGTTACAGGGCATCTCTTACTGTACGTTCCGCTTTGTCCCCTTCTCGTGTCACACAATGATGAAATGGCTGCACTGTTTGATATCCGTCCGTCCAACCACCATCCGGACCTCTCCCTCGACCCCGCCCGTCCCTTGTCCTTTCCTATCTCGCTGTCACTCTTGCACTGCGTTTTTCTCTCAGGCCCGGTCCGCGGTTATGTAGAGGTACACAGGTACAACAAACCCTCGGTGCTCTGCAGCAGCCTCTTCCAGGTAAGTACAGTGAGTAGGTACATGTATCTTGTTTTTCGCTACGGGCTTCCCGGAGAACTGTCCACCCTAAACTTACGGGTAGTTGTAGTGCATCACATAACGACATGGCACGGTGTTACACCCAATCAAACAAAATAAAGAAGATATCAGCAAAGCGCAGATTCTGCAGGCCACCTGCCCTTGTTGTTTGCGCAAAGTGCTGCCAATGGAGATAAAACTCCCTTAAACTACTCTTAAGGCGGTTAGTTTGGCAACTTCCACCAGGCTATCTTCCCGTGAGCCCGAACCCCAAACCACGCGATAAGGCTCGGGAACAATTAAAATCAGCGCCCTTTCTTCCACCGCCGGCTTGTCCATGTCTTCTGTTTTCTCAATGGCTCGACTGACAGCTTCAGGCTCTTCCTTATCTGCCCACGTCCCATCACGTCCGACCGCCAACAGACCCCGAGTCGATACACCGGAATCAGCCTGCTTGCTTCGAAGCAACGAACTACAAGGAACGACAAAAGAGCCATAAGAGCAGGCAATACAAAGACATAAAGAGAAGGCATGCTACCGGTCCGTACCTCACGGTTTGCTTGCTCTTGGGTTGCTCCAACCGACCTCAGTCGAAATTGCAGCATTCGAAAGATCTGGCAGCCAAAATGCAAGTCGAAACGCAGATACGTACTGTGTAACTCAGCGCCAGAACCCCTCCAAAATCTCTCGGGGAAAAAGTCAAATGGGGTGGCTGCCGACACCGACTCATGAACCTCACTGGTTCAACCTCTGTATTGGTCCCACCCCACTGGGATTTTCTTTCCCGTCTTCACGCCTGATTATTATGTCATGATCGGCGGGGACCCTGTTTCTCTGTACTGACCTGCTCACTGTGTGGCCCTTCGCCCATTCTTGACACCTTGTCAGACTGTTGATTTGTCGACTCGACAAAAGGCACAGACACCGAGGCATGGAGACTTGCCCCTTTCTTCAGCGGCAGAGTCCCCTGAAAATAAACATCGAGTCAAGACCAGACTTCGATTCCTCTTCGCCTTCTAGTTCTCGGCCTACAAAAGCCCTGCTTCACGGCCCGAGCCTCGTGTGTGAAAGTCAGGAGTTGAGATCGTCTTTTCAGGGGTCAAACCTTCTTGAGGGCACCATCCAAATGCTTATTATAGCATGTTGTCTGGTCCTATACAATTCACCCCTGGTTCGATTGCTAACGCGGTACTTCCAGGGCCTATGAACCACTTTCAGGGTGGCTAGGCGAGACTGCTGGCGTGAACAGCATCCAGTTGGCCATTGCCCGCTGTAAATGGAGTCAAGCTTTGGTGCATGTGTGCGGGACACAATCGCCTAGCTTTGGAGTGGTTTGGGTCAATGGGAGCTCCGGGATCCTTGTCTTTTCCCTTGTCTGAGGACGTCGCGAGTCTCGAGCTAACAAGCAAACTAGCATTGACCTATACGCTATGCTCCTCGACATTTGTTTCAGAGTTCGCTAGAAGCGTAAACCTACTGGTGGGAATGGGGACTCAACCAACGGATAATCATCCCATGCCCTCGCCCGCCCTCCCATGCCTCCCTGCCAATGCAATACATTTCGAACCTCTATCGTCTTTCCACAACTATTGGCATAATTAACTCCCAGGCGTATCCCTTGGGCATTCGAAAGTCATGGAAAGGGTCAAGAAACTACGAATGGTTGACGTGCTACCAGCGCCAGGAAGGATCGTCTGGTCTACTTGCCCAAATCGTCACCGTTGCCAACCCAGCATCATCATGCACGACCTATACTAATGGATGTAAGCAGACGGGTAAAGCAAGCGCTATAGATAGCCAGATTATCCTATTTCCTTTTCTTTCATTTGCAACCTTCGTGGAAATCAATACTGAAGAGGTATGGTGTGACTATCCCAACATCAACAGACCTGACTGCTGCTTCTTTCAACGGAGTTCAGTCCGTGTCAATAGGTTTGCTAGGCAAGGCAGAACAACACCTGGCCAATTAAGAAAGAATAACACTAGCACTGTGTAATCTGCAGATCACACTGGTAACGGGCGAGCCGACATACCCGGTCAGATGCTATGGAACCCAGACCCCGTACTCTACACCGTCTCGACTATTCATGGTGAGCTTCAATTTTTTTTTTTTTTTTTTTTTTTTTTTTTTTTTTTTTGCTTCTATAACACTACATATTTACGCCATCACAGCCTTCTCTCATATTTCGGGCAAGCTCCGTCTTCATGCGCAAAGCCCTTGACTAGTCAACGACTCAGTCGGTTGTCTCTCTTTCTTTGGATTTTACGAGAAGAAAGTCAGTCTGGCGGTGGACGTTCTGTTACACGACACGAACAAAGCTTCATATGCATATTCCGGGGACGGTCTCCGAAAATAGTCAATGCCGGTGGTCCTGTCGGCTCCCGTTGAACAGATGAACAAAGCGTTCACGGATTACCGATCCTTGTGGTAACGATTCATGGATCTTATAACCTTAAACTTTCTACTTCGGATAGTATACTACTCCAGCAGAAGGCTGGTCTGTTCACGCATGGTTTGGCCTTATTCATATCTGCCATCGGTCACAACTACAAGGTCAGTCGGTGCCCTTGGTAGGTCAAAGTGACGGCAGGCATGATACCTGGCGCTAGCCCATACTACACTGTACTTCGACGTTTGCGTGATCATCGATTAGTACCCAAATCACCCCCGCACGCAAATTGGGCTGCCATCTCAAGATCTTGCCGAGTTTTATCCCATCCATGTCCAAACACCTACGTGTGAGAGCCGGTACAATTTTATGCGCCAAATTCCAACCATGGGAACTTCAATCACAGCTCACCCTGACTGCTTCCGAGACAAAGTCCAGCTCGCTGTGTGGACATGAATCGTGTGAGGGGACGTTTGAATGAACTTTGCCCGCCCGAGGACACTACTTGTATTGGCGCCGCTTTCGCGGGACGTTCTCGGACTTCCTTCCGCTTGGTGGTGGTCTACTGTAAGTTACAAACGGGGACAGGGGCACCGCGGAGAAAATCCTGCTCCATGTCCATCCCCCCCCTGCATGGGCATAATCACAGGCTAGATTATAATCATCATTGACCCCATCGACAGGACAAGACGTTAAAGATTTGTTCGTCAGACTCGGCGCAGCACCAACCTATCAGCCACAAGTGACCGGAGTCCATGGCCTTGTTTTCAGATCCTTCCATGGCCTTCTACCGACGCGCTGCCCTATTCACAAGGGGAACCGCCAATGGACTTCTATCTTACCATCGATCAGACCGATCGGTCGGGAAGCTTTATCGCGACAACGCCGACACGTGGGGCTATATGTAACAGAGGCTTTGCTCCTCACGCACCAAAATTCGTACGTTTTTCCACCACTGTCTCACGTCAACATCAACTTCTCCTTACCGCCGATCACAACATTGCCACCAAGTTCCATAGCTACACTATGTACATACTACACGGAGCATTCGGGACGAATCCTGAATGTTCTTACGCTTCTTGAATCTTCTGCTGGAAAGCTCGTTAGCTTGACACTTACAGAGGGCTCCTCGACCACTTTTTTTTTTTTGCGGTGTCAACAGCATCTGATTCTTCATCACTCGCTACGAATAGAGTCAAGCCTTGCTGTATGTAGACATTTGGAGAGAAACGATCAGTTGTTGTTCTTACCTTGGCTTTGGCCTGGATTGGGCTACGTCTAACAGGAGGATTGAATTCCCTGTTCTCTTCCGTGTCCGAAGACATTGTATTTTGCCCCAATGTTCAGCTATCCTCAGTACGAGAAACTACGATAGGCGAGAGACAGGCAAAGAAGACGCATTTGATCGATAAATGGCGAGTGCCGGGCATCAGGGGAGATACGGTGCGATTTTGGGAAGTATTGTGGGCCGAGTTGTGCCAGCAGACACCGAATACATCTTCCTAGCTCGATCTGACATGCACCACGAATATCGACATCGCACATCAACATCTCGAGTGCTCGGAAAGACCCGAGCAGTTACCACTCGCTTTCTTTTTACGTCACTACACACGTGTACGTGAGATCTTACCTACAGGCTGTTCAAGCCCCTGAGGATCTTCTGGGATCCCTGAGAGAGAGACGTGCAAGCTTTCCTGTGGCTTGTTAACGTTCAACAATAATGAGGCTACTGAAGCCACTAGGTCTTGGCGGGGCCCACTGGGAAGCGCGGTGTAGCTTGGGCGAATCACATTGTGGTCCCAACGTCAGTTGTTGTTGAAGTCTGAAACACCTCCTTAACTGTCATCTGTCGACGATTGTTAACATCGCCAAGCACCGGTGTCGGGAGAGGTTGCTCCCGAGACATCGGAGACGAACACCTTTTGAAGCGTCCCAGGTGGGTTCAAACGAAACACAGTCCACACACGACGACTTGTCGTTTGGTGAGCCCATGTGTAGGTAGTCTTTTCTTGGAACCACCTGGCGTCCAATGGGTATGGATACCAAACTGGAAAGTTCGGTTACCGCTTCGGGGGTGCGGCCGTCAGAATCTGTCGAGATCTATCCTGTCCCTTGCACGGATAACAGATGTGCAGGCCCGCTCTTGAACCCTGAATCTAAAAATTGACAGCCCTACCTACTTCGGGTTTACGCTCCGGGGATGAGACATATAAGTCCTATCCCGGTCTCAATGGCGGGCTCAGACTGGACACTGAAGGACTGGACATCGGAGGCCAAGTGGACTGGGTACCTATAATGAGTTCCGTATTACTTCCATTTACTACCTCTACCGAGTATATCGCGCAACTTCACGGCGTTTCCACTGACGTGTGACCAACAGACCGGCTACATCTACTTGGAACGACGTAGGTTTTGGCGGCAGCTCTTCCCTTCTACCGGAGCGGTCTGTGAACTCTTACGATGGCATCGTACGATGGAGAATCGTCAGGGAAATGTGGCCGGCTGCCTAGAGGTAGGCAGGCATTCTATGTCCCCCTTTTTAGGAGAAGTGTTGTCGACGTGCTGGTTTATATGGAGGCATGCAAACAAATGCTTGACGATTTGTGTGATATTTGCGGTGTTTCAGATTAGACCGCCACGGCCAAAGTCATGGGTTACTCCATTCTGGGGAGAGTGGAGCCAAAGGTTGAGACTCGTTGAATGACCGGAATAACACGTCCACGGAATAAAAAGAACTCTTGTGGCGATGGAGCGAGTTTTTCGATGGGGTCCATACCCTTTTCTCAGCTTCATGTCCGAGCTCAGAGCTACCTCTCTATCTTAGCGCTGACATGTCTCGTTCTGGTTCTATATCCGTCAGGATGAGGAAGCTTGTGAGACAGCAAATGGAGATATGATGCTCCATCTAAAATCGAATGATGGGACAGGTCGTTGTCAAATGATCTACAAGCGTTTGATACAAAACCCTTGCGCAGGAAGGCTAACACAAGTGAGTGTCTCTCGGGGTAGAGGTAGGCAAGGCATATTCAAGCGAGAGCTGGACACAAGAAAGGGTTAGGGTTGGGTCAGAGGCACAAGTCGGTTCATACCTTATCCTGGGATGGCATTCGCGTACACCAGGTCCAACCTATACGTACCCCGAATCCTACCTCTATATACAAGGCTCCTACTTCTCACGCGTAATGCTCTATAAGTCGAATTCCGGCAAGGGTATTTTGTCTTGTGCTCATTCGGCGAGGGTCGAGTGCTATTGACCTGCGCCTGTTGTCCCAAAGAATATCCGTCGGCTTATGAGACTCGGCGCTGGCATCGCGAAGAACGATGGAAAATGAACAGAATCTGCACACCATACTGTTGAAGCAAACTAAGTCAGTGCCTTTATTTGGGTAGACAACAAATCGAGCTCAAACAGTGGACAGAATTCCCCTGCTTAGGCGACATGGTCGAAGGGATGTAATGTCCGTTATGAACACGGTGAAGGAGGAGACATGTGAAAAAAGGAAGCGCCTATCAACATTCAGCTCCGGTGATTGGTCCACAACTGCTATCTGGGTCCTGTTGGGGTAAAAAGCTTCTCCAAAAAGCGCGGGGAAAGAGCAGCTCGCAATCTGGGTGGATGCACATCAGATGCATTATTGAAGAACGCTAGCGATGCGAGACGCGGAATTGCGAAACCGATCAAGCGAGACATTACGAAAAAAGAAAGAAACCACCACAAAAAAAAAAAGCTACAAGGGTTGAATCTAATTCCAGGACACAACGAAAGTTGCTTTTCGGATGCTTTGCGGCTGAATGATCGGCCTTGTGTCTCTCGAAGATGTGAGACCAGCCGGAGAAAAGTGAGAGAGGGTTCGGCCGACATTTCTCGACAGTAGCAAAACCCCCGAGGCGGCACGGCGGGCGCGATATCGTAATGTAGCAATGTCGCAATCTGGGCGGGCTTTTGGTGCCCTCGGGACCCCACCGATCTGAACCGTGATTTAAGAAGATTCCACCCTCATTGGGCAATATGTCTCTCTGTGGCCGGCGTTGCACAACCAAAAATCCAGCAATGGCTCGCTCTCTTCCAAGACCAAACAGCCAAAGTTTCCCGCCTGCCGGAGGAGACCAAAGACTTGAAAGGGAATAGCGACAGAGCTTCCACCCGACGGCTGCTTCCTTCCCTTCATGGATGTACCTAGTGGTGGGTCATTCTAGAACTTCCGATCTAGTTGCAACGTCAAGCATTTGCAAGCAATTGCAAATCATGGTCACCTCAAAGACTCGAAGGCTCCCAATGCAATGGTGTTATTTCTTTTTTTCTCTTTTCCTTCTTCTTTTTTCTTTGTGTGTTGTTAGGACCCTTGATTGCTCTAAGACCTAGCTCTACCTACCTAATGACACCACGTTCCTTGCAGTGGTAGCTGTATCTCTATCTCCCTCACTAGGCTTACGGGGTAGTTGGCTATGATATCGTCTAGTACCCCTGCCATCGAGGGCAGGGCGCCATCTCAACCCCAACCGCAACCCGATTCCAGACTGAGGAACTCCCATTCGCTTGGTATTAGCAACTCGAATACTTCGAGACCAGATAGTATAGGCAGCCGAAGCACGAAGCAACCAGGAATCGATACCCGCATTGAAGACGATACCCGCATTGAAGATGAAGTTGAGAATGTCAACTTGCGCCAGGATGACTTCCCTGACTCTCAACTCACCGGCTTCTCAGATGCCCAGGAACGGCATATCCGCCGGAAGGTAGATTTTCGCCTTTGCACCATCGCAGGAATCCTTTGCAGCCTCAACCTCCTCGACAGCAATGTTCTCTCGAGCGCCGCAGTCACATCGATGCTATCGGATTTGGGACTTGACCAGGGCAATCGCTTTTCCGTCTCCATCTTCATCTTCACCGTAGCGAGCATTATCTTCCAGCTTCCTTCGACCATTGCCGTGCGCACTTTCGGTCCCCGTATCTGGTTCAGCCTTGTAACGTTCTCCTTTGGCATCATCACCCTCTCGACCGGATTCGTCAAGGACTGGAAGCAGATGATCGCCCTCCGCGTCCTTCTTGGCGCCACAACTTCGAGCATCTACCCCGGCCTCTCGTACCTTATCAGCTGTTGGTATCCACGTCGCGAACAGCAAGTCCGTTTTGCTTTCATGCAGAGCGGCGAGGTCATCATCCTTGCCACCGGAAGCCTGGTCAACTATGGCCTCCAGCAGCATAATGGCGGCGCAGGCCTCGAGGGATGGCGATGGATGTTCATTGTGCAAGGCCTGTGCACATGCGTGCTCGGCATCGCGACGTACTGGTGGATCGTTGACTTCCCGGAGAACTCGCACAAGAGCTTCTGGTTTCTGACGCCGGAAGAAGCTGAAATCGCCTCGCGCCGCATCGAAAAAGATCGCGGAGATCTCATTGCCCAAAAGCTCAGCTTGAGGGCCGTTGTTGTTCATGCCAAGGACTTCAAAATCTGGGTGTTTGCCTGCCTCTTCTTCATGCAGAACGTCGTCTCGACAGCTCTGGCGTACTTTGTCCCCATTATCTTGGAGAATGGTCTAGGCTATTCGCCCGACCAGGCAATCATTCTCTCGGCTCCGCCTTACTACTATGCAGTCATCCCGGTTATCTTATCGTCTTTGGTGGCTGATCGGTTCCGGATCAGGGGCCCGATTATCACCTTCAATGCCCTTTGCATGATAACGGGCTTTGCTATCCTTGGGTTTGCCGAGAATTCCAGGGCTCGCTACTTTGGAGTGTTCCTCGCCACGGGAGCATACGTAGCTAACTGGGCAGCTTTGACTGCCTACCAGGCCAACAATGTGGTCGGGTAAGTTTGCATCCCATCGTATTGGATTTGTTGCTAGGCGCTTTGCTGACTCTATCTTAGACAATGGAAGCGAGTGTTTACCGCTGCCGTGTGCACCATGTTTAACGGTGCTGGTGGTATTGCTGGCAGCTACATTGTCCGCAATGTTGAAGCTCCGAGATATACTACTGCTGTCTGGGTGTCGATAGGGTAATAATCTCAGCTCATCGCTTTTTGTTGCTGCCTAAACTGACCGCTAGAGGTACCTTTAGGTCTCACATCTTGATGATCTTACTCGTTGGTACTCTGACGATATACTTCTACTTCCGGAACAACCGGGCTGCGCGCACGAATGGAGCCGTCGAAAGAACCGTAAGCTGATAGTGTGGTCTTTCCAGTAACTGTGAGTGAAGCTAACCTGGACTTTTCAGGCCGGATTCCGGTATACATACTAGTTTTTCTTGGTTATCTATACACACTACCCCGATATACCCGTTTGCCGATTATATACCCACGAACATTGTGTGTTCAGATGATCTTTTAAATACAACTGTTGGTTATTGTATATACTCAACCTACTTCTACTTTTGGAAGACAACCTGAGCATCTACCCCGCGTGCACTATTTTTATACGGTATTTGTACCTCAATTTAATAGAGCTTTGGATCTCCCTTTGCTTACCTTGCCCTTTTACAATACCCTCTCAAGGTTCACAACAACAAAGAGCCGCTTAATCACAAGCCACGTCAAAGCAAGTAGTCCATTCAGCTACTTTCAGGTTCTAGGTTTTCCATCATCAGCATTGGCGACTGAGCTTTGTAGCGTAAATGTGGTGTAAAAGCTAGATAGACGTCTAATCGATCCCTCAGTGTCACGGATCTGCCCGTGCACGTACAGCCATAACAACCGGGAACAAAGACGGAGTAATATATGCTCAATCTATAGAGTTGACTCTAAGATCGACTCAAACATCTCAAACTGGTCTTAATGCCTCTACTCCATAGAGGCAACCAACACGTGCCCGGGCAGGTATACATCGGCTTGCCCGCCTTCATCAGCTCAAAAATGCCGTGTCCACCTCTTCCAGCGGGAACTCAACGAAGCACTTGATCTTATATGACTTGGCAAACTGGGTCACCTCCTCTGCATCCAGCGTTCTTTACGACAGTCACCCATGCACCATCAACTGCTGCAATATCAACACCGTTGTTTCAATCTCCACCGGCCCTGCGCACAAATTCTTGGGCTGTAGTACCTAGTAACATCATGGGGAGCAGCTGTCATTGTACTTGTACCTTTCTCAACACAGGATATATCCTAAAAGGTTGAAGAACAAAAAACTGATAGCCTGATTACCGCAAATGATATATAATGGTGATTTTTCGTGTCAAGCTGTCTTTTGCGTATATGCATTTCGAGTGTCCCATGGGGTATTCGGACGTTTGTTAAACAATGAGATGGAAGGATGGTCTAATGAGTTCAAGTCACACCCCGGATTTACAGAGGATCTGCCCCACAATCGATCGCTATTGGCCCAACCGCATCGGAGTTTTTGGCTGCGATAAATTGGTCGCGGTTCGTTGCAACGTTGAATGAAGGAACATAGGTACCTACTGTCCCGGAAAGCCGCAGGAGTCTTTCACTGCACTACTTGCTGTATGTGATATCTTTGAGAATCATGAGATGAGAGCATTTTGCTTCCCTAAAAATGATTCAGGATGAAGGGCTTGGTCTCTCCTATACCCCTGAGACCTGGATGCCCGGTGGGGCGTACCTCCTCTTTTGGCTCCACGAATCGGTGGGCTTGGAACAACGCATGCACAGCGAAGAGGAAATCTGCTAAAATGACAGTGTCAGACGGCGCCTCGGCGAAGGTGATAGGCCCAGCGGCAAGGACTCATGCGGCGGTGCAGGCACAAGGACAGCAAACACTGTCTGTTTAAAGCGGAAGTGACCTCATCGCAAACAACGACGCGCACTCCACATTTGACATCTCAAATCCTTCCGCTTTGGGTTTTACAACCTGAACTCAACAAGTCCAACCACCCAACATCACCCAACTGCTGCATCTGCTTTCATTGCCTGTACGGACGCTACTTCAACTCTCCCGTGCAAGGTCTGGTAACGGCAAAGGAGACAGCTTGCAGTCATGAAGACGCAAGAACCACCCGATAGCAACCGGCCGGCGCAGGCGTGCCAGGTCGACATTCCAGAGCAGCCGGACTCTGCTGTCCAGGAAACCTCGTTTGCGGCTGATGCCTACGACGCATCCTCCGACCTCCAGGTTCTCGACCACGAACCGATCCCGGACGAAGAGTGGCATGCCCAGAACGGACAATCATCTGCTCTTGAGTCCCAATCCAATCATCAGCATGGCACCTACGGTTATGGCTCCTTCCCCCACACGCTCAGGACCGGCCATGATGGCCATCACAAGTCCACCGCCCGCGCCCTTGCGCCCGACCTCCTGCGAGGATTGTTGATGGTCCTCATGGCTCTCGATCACAACTCCATGGTCCTGCAATCGTGGGACCATGGGACTGCCGCTCCTCAGGACGAAACTGGCGCTCCTCAGGGCGAAAACGACTCCATCCCCGTTCACAAGTGGAATCACCCGATTGCTCACCATATTCGGGTGCTGGCCCACCTATGCGCTCCGGGCTTTACGTTCCTTCTCGGCATGGGCATCGTCTACTTTGGTCGGTCTCGAACCAGCCTAGGCTGGTCCACAACTCGCATGGCCTGGCATTTCTTCACGAGAGCAGTCGTCTTGACCCTGGTCATGATCGTCATGAGCTTGGGCATCACCTTGGGAGATACCTGGTTCCTCAATATCGTCTTGTTTGCCTTGGCTGTCGACTATCTCCTCTCGGGATTAATCTGGCTTGTGACCGCCAAGACGGAGAAGATGCTCGCCTTCATCATCCTCAAGGTGCTCCCGGAGAAAAAGGAAGACGATGCCACCGAACCGCTGCTGGCTAACCGCCGAGGGGTAGAGGATATCGCCCCCGACAGGGCCATCATTCGTGCCGCCGACATCTCCTGGCACATCCACAACGTGGTGCTCTCAACCCTCGCAGTCGTGACCATTTGGTGGAACATCTGGCTCAGTCCCACCAACGGCCACTGCGGCGTCGAACCCGTGCAAAAGCTCCCCGACACCATCTTGGCTCGCATCTGGTTCTACCGGGTCTTTGATACAGATTGGCGCATCATTTCCGTCTTCCCCCCACTGGCCTGGATTTCATTCGCCATCCTCGGTCTTGTAGCCGGCCGCATCATCCTCGCCCGCTCGTGGAGCACCAAGGCCATCGCCGTTGGCAACCTCCTCGCCGGCATTGTCTTTACCATCGTCTTTGTCGGCACGCGCTTCCTCAACGCCGGAAACCTTTCTGAGGGGTGCCTCCACATGCCCGAGCACGAAAGGCCTGACGCCCCCGATAACCAGTACCTCGCCTCCTGGCGGTCCTTCATCTACCTGATCAAATACCCGCCTGACGTGGCCTTCTGGGCCTTTACCATGGCGGGCAACCTCTTTCTTTTTGCCTTTTTCAGCGTCATCCCCCCGCGTCTTGCCACCATCATCTTTGAACCCCTCTTGGTGTTTGGCACATCAGCGTTGTTTTTCTTTGTCGGCCATTTGACGCTGCAGTTTGCGCTGGTTAAACCCGTGAGGCACTGGTTTGGACATGTGCTTGCGCACCCGGACCCTTGGAACCCGGACCAACCGGCGGTGGGAGTAGATAACTTGTGGATATTCTTTGGATTCTGGCTTTTGGTATTGGCTATACTGTATCCGCTTTGCAAGTGGTATGGCGCGTTTAAGAGGAGGAGAGGGTCGGATTCGATTTTCAGGTTCTTTTAGGTTGGTGAAGGGGTCGAAAGGTTGGGTGAAGAGGAATACGCCTCCAGTTGAATACCTCTGGAGGTGGGTCTAGATCTGGTAGAAAATGTTGCACTACAGGTTTTCCTGTTTCCAGGGTCCGTCTCGTGCACGCCGCTTTAGTGAAGCTGGCTTTGTGCTCATTGGTTCCTTTTTTTTCTCTTTCTCGCGTCGGTTCTAAGCGATTCCAATCATGCGATCTCGGGTCTGGACGTTTTCCAGGGCCGTTACGATTCGGGTACTTCTTTCGAACACCTAGCATCACGTACTAGGACGACAAGATGCTCACGATCGCCCCGAAGCCGCTATTGCGGAGCATGATGATTTGTTAGCAAGGACCTGGCGTCAGCATCTGACGGACTTATTTCCGTGCCAACAAGAGAACTTTGAATAAAGTCAGGTTGAAAAACAGGAAGAAAAAGACCCAGGGGTATCATACGGTAATCAGAAAAGAAACCCCAGCCCGGTACAGCCACGCCACCGACCCAAAAGGAAAAAGACCCAGCGCTTTCCAGTGCAAAAATTCACCTGCAGACCACACCAAAACCACAAACGTCAATCCCAAACCGCTCCACCGACTCCTCACACTTGGGGCTTCGTGAGTGTAAGTCGAAGAGGAACCCATACTCCGCAGACAACACTTTTGGAATCCCAACCACCCTCTAACCCCCCCTAAACCAACACATCCCTTTCATCCAGCCTCATTGTCCCTGTCCTTCTTCTTCTTTCCTTTCCCACCCTTCCGTCCCGTAAAAGAAGGCCAAAATCTCTGAGACTTCTTCACTACATCCTTCTTCCCTTTACCACCCTTTCCCCCATCTTCGCTCACGTCGACGTCCGGAAGACTCGAAGGTCTTCCCTTATCCGTACGCCCACTACGAGCGGCAGGATCAAAGAAGTTGCCCGACGTGAAGTGTCTGGGTAATCCGAATCCGGACCTTCCTACCAGACGAGGCACCTGGGGCACCTCGTCGTCAGAAAGGGCGGCACGGTGACCCGCATCGGATTGATACGGGACTGTTTCTAGCCCCTGATTACCCACTGCCCGGATTGGAGCAGCGTGCTCGCTGATGTGGTAGGGGCCGACACCAGGAGCGTGGCTCACAGGTGGAACCCTCGGATGAGCGGCCGCAAGGAAGCCCTGGGAGTCAGCCGAAGTCAACGGTGAACCCAAGCTTGGGACAATGGGAGCTGCCACCGAAGCCGGAGCGCCAGTGGCAGACGGAGCAGGGAGCGAGGGAGGAGGAGAATTGGAGGGTGCCTCCGCGGCCTCAGGTGTGAGATCGGGGGGCGAGAGGAAGGACTGAATCTCCTCGGAAGTAAAATGGGCCCGCCCGAGGCGTCGATTCCTACGTTGGTCGCGAGCCACTTGCGCGGTCGCTTCCTCGGTAGCCTGGTCCCCCATGCTCTCGTCATCATCAAACTCAACCTCATCGTCGACGCTGGTGAGAGCAACGCCAACATCCCTGCCCCTCTCGCTATCATCCTCTTCCTCTCCTTCTTCGTAACCTTCTTCTGCCTGACCCTGTTGGCTACGATCAAGCACATACACCACGCTCGCCTGCGGCCCGCATACGTGCTGGACGACATGCGCCGTTCCACCCTCCATTATCTCCAACCCCCAGTCGCCGCCAACCCCGAACTCAACTCGTGACCGCCTCCATGTCTCCATGCCTGACTCTTCCTGCGGCGGGACGGCCGCAGAGGTGGCGTAAGCAGCCGCGAGGCCACTACCATGCGCGAGGCCCGAGGAGGACGTCAGAGCGTGTCCTCTACCCAGCGAGGGAAGAGCTGCGGGCGCGTGAGCACCCGAGACGAAAGAGTTGGGCTGCGTCGCCTGGGCTGACGCGACGGTGTCCCCAGAGAGAGGAGGGACGGAAAGGGTGGGCGGGCTAACAGGGAGGTTGTGGGCAGCGCTGCTCGTAGCCTCGGAGGAGATGCGAGAGGTGCCCAGTCCCTGTGGGAAGTATGAAAGGGTTAGCAAACATTGAAATTCTGAAAGGATGGAAGTTTTGGTGTGATGGAGGGCGATTGCCGATTTGTCGTTATTTGACGATTCAGGGTCAGAGGGGCATGAGGTACATGCCCCTGTGCTGGGAGCATGTGGTCTCTGGTACATGAAGAAAGACGTGGATCAACAAACAATGTGTAAAAGACCTACAACCGTGAAGTTACAGGAAGGAAAGGGTGTTTTGTGTGCGAGGAAGGTAACGATATTCAGCAGATAACCACATCAAGCCTTTTCTGCGTTTAGAGGTATGTTCCGGGCAAGGACAGTGTTTGCGATAAGGTTCGCTTCAATGCTGCGGCGTCAGCTCCGATACTCGCAAAAGGATGATTCGTCGGAGCGCAACAGGCAGAAAGGCAAAGGTGAAGGAAGGGGACGTAGTGTTGGCGGGAACCTCAATATCAAATCCCGATCACGTATAGAGGTATCTTGCTTACCTCATACTCACGAACCGCGCGCCCATACATCTATGAAGGAGATAAGGGTTAGTGAACTGTATTGCGAGGTCTGATGAGAGTAGAAAAAAAATAAGAGGATGGCGGTGGTGATGAGAGAAGAGCGGCAAAGTTGACTTTCCCTTCACTTCCAAAGAACAAGTGGAAGAGGGAAAAGAGAAAGGCAAAGCGACAAAGAGGAATATGGAGAAGGAGCGAATTCAAGTAAGATAGCGTACACATACTTCTTCGACGGTGTCGACGACGTCGTCTTCTTCTGCTTCTTGGCGAGCCGCGCCCGCGCGAGCGGCGGAACCAACGTTAGCAACGCAAGGTGCCATGGTGTTGTGGGTGGGGTTGGTGGTGTGGTGGTTTGGTGTGGTGGTGTTGCCAGGCTGGAAAACAACACAAAAAAAGAACTGAACACGGCAAGAGATCGTTGGTCTGGTTGCATACACTTAATTAGTGGTCAGTAATACCTACTTGCTTGCTAGGTATAATGCTCAAGCTGCACCTTAGTATGCTTAGAGCAGAGGTACTTACGACGGCGAGAGAAAGCGGTGCGCTGGTGGTGATGGGGAGAGAAAAAAGATAAGAAGAAGATGAAGATAAAGAAAACATTTTAAAGTTTTATGACACTCGGGGCAGGGTCCGGCAAAGGGCTGGCGTCGGCGTGCCTGCCTTCGCAAACCAAACGAATAGATACATCTCTAGGCTACCGCCTTAAGAAGATCGGACAACAGTTTCAAAGTTCAGACCGTTGGCGTGGTAACCAACTGGAAGATGAATTTACGACTCGTATTGGGGCAGCATAGATGTTGCTGCCTATACGTCTGAAGTTTGTTATTGTCTAGGTAAGTGACCATAGAGGCACGCTTGACATATTCCTGGGCCCCTTCTATTCAAGTGGAAAATCGTCTACGTTCGGATGATTTCCCCGTCTGTTTGCGTAATTCGAGTCGAAAGTGTACCCTAATGATCAATGAGCCCGGTTGAATGGAAGCCCGAAGCTACCTCTACCTACCCAACTACCTGTACTTTCGGTCATTCACGACATGTCGAACACGAGAGTAGGAAGGAAGACGTAATCGTGGAAATAATAAAGACATTACATTTCATTAGTACATTACGCTTGCTTGCTAAATCCAACCGCAGCCATCACAACATGACGCTCATTATGATATGTTGTACATGCCTTACCGTCCTCCTATGTTATATAGGGCTGGGACGGGCGCACTTGAGACTTATTGAAAGACCTGCAAGGAATATCGCTGTGGTGGTCGGACGCTTCCTTGTCGCCTGTCTAAGCAACGATAGCTTCGGATACATGGCCGTCGGCCTGGACGACGACCTTTTCGACTTTGAGGGAGGCCTTGACGGGGTTGGGCTGGTCGTAGACCCATTCGAGCTGCTCGAGGGTACGCCCTTGGGATTCGACACTACAGTGGAACGAGTTAGCGATCTGTGTGCTGTTTACGCATATTGACAGAGAGGAAGACTAAAAACATACCCAAAGAAGTACCAAGCGACGGTCTCGATAAGATCCCAGCCGACAAAGACAAAGATGTACTTGTAGCCAATGTTATGGAGAGCGATGGGGCCAGCGAACTGGTTGATGAAGCCCATGGCGTTGACAATGAAGCCGGAAAGGGCAAGACCCTTGCCACGGATGGTGGTCTCGAGAGCCTCGGTGGGGATGACACCCTGGAGGGGAGTGTAGGTGAAGGAGAAGATGACGTTGAAGAGGAAGTAAGCGGCCAGGGCACCCTTGGCGTAGTTGCTGTCGACGTGGAGGTAGGCGTTGTCCTTGGCATCCTGCTCGTTCATACCCTGGTTCAGGTTGATCTGCGTGCCCCTTTGAGTCTGCTTGTCAAGAGTAGCCGAAAGACCCGAGTTGGTGGCAAGAGCAGCGGCGCACATGAAGGTACCGATAATGAGCACCGTGCGGCGGGGCATACGGTCAGTCATGGAGACGGCGGTCAAGGCACCGATAGCGGAGATGACGGAGTTAAGAATATTGTAGGCGAGCTGCTGGGAGGTGCTGGTGACACCAATGTTCTTGAAGATGACGGTGTTGAAGTAACCGAGACCGTTGCCGGAGAACTGACCAAAGATGGAGATCATGAGCACCTGGGCCATGCGCCAGCGGCCGCTGTGGGTCATGAAGAGCGGGCGGTAATCCCACCAGACCTTGTCGACACCGTCGGTCCTGATACCGTCCCTCATCTCCTCAGTCTCGAGCAACACCAGCTTGGAATTGGGATCGCCGTTGCCGTGATACTTGACAAGGAAGGCAACAGCCTCAGCGTCGCGGCCGTTGGCAAATAAGAAGCGAGGGGATTCTGGGAGGAAGAAGACGGAGGACATGACGATAAGGCACGTGAAAGCCTGAAGGATCAAGGGGATACGCCATGACCAGTTGCTCTTGATGAAGTAGCAGCCATAAGTGATGCAGGCGGCAGGAATCGAACCTCCGAACCAACCGCAGTTGTAGAAGCCAGTGCAACGGCCGCGCCAGTGAGGAGGGGCGATTTCGATGGAGTAGGCCGGGGCAGCAACGGTCATGATGGCGATACCGAGGCCAAGAACGAAGCGGCCAACGACAAACTGAGCGAGCTTGGAGGAGCTAGCAACAATAATGGAGCCGACAATGATAAAGATACCACCGATGAACATGCCCTTCTTACGGCCAAAACGATCAGAGAGGATAGCAGCGAAGGGAGCTCCAACCATAGCACCACTGGAAGACTCGAGGTGTTAGAAAAGCCCAAAACCAAAAAGGAGTGAATGCTGAATACCTAATGACTTACACGGTATAGAGAGAAAAGATGACAGAGACTTTCGGACCAGTGTCACCAGTGTGGAATTGGTTCTGGAACTTATCCATAGCGATGATTCCGGTCATTAGTGAACCATCGTAACCGTTGGCGCAGGCACAACAAAAGGCGACGAAGATGGCAAAGTAGAGGTGGATGGACTCCTTGCTCCAGGGCTTGATGTTGGACTCCTTGATGGCCGCAAACAGGGCGGCGTTGCGGACCTCCTTCTCTTGGGCACCGGGCTTTGTGGCTGTCTGGCCATGGCCCTTGGACACTATTTTGATGGTGTCGTGGGTGGGCGCAATATCATGAGTAGCAAGGTGCTTCTCGGTGCTGGCCCCGTCATGGGAGCCGTGAGACGACATGTTGGGTGTCTTCGAAGATGTCGGTGATGGTACGGGTGTTGATCTGGACGTGCTGGGCCCTTCTCCTGTGTCGTCTGGAAGTTGATGGGGGGTTGAGGACAGGTCAGCAGTGGACGACCATGGCAATTCTTACTCGGCACGATGAAGAGAAGACGGGACTGGCTGAGGAGCAAGAGGGGAAGGGTGTTGCAACGGCGGCGGCATCATCCTTTATCATGTTTTTGAGGATGGAGTGAGATGGTCGGACTCGGGTTGGCGCGAACGTTGCCCCCTCATCTCCAGGTTCCCCAGAAGGTCACCCCAGATCACCCCGGGTCACCCCCAGACGGCTGGGTACGGAAGCGCGCCGCGCTGCCACGTGAGCCATGGAGCCATGGTAAGACCATGACAGCACATAAGATTGTGGAGGGATCCGAAATCTAGAACCCGTTCCTGCCTCTATGATGCTACCTCGCTGAAGTTAGCACTCAGATGTCCCGCAAGAACACCAGACTTGACGAGATGGCCATGCTCCTTGCACAGTACGACCATGCACCGTTGCAGTCAGCAACAAGCGGCAACAAGATGCCTCTCGAGGAGGTATGGCCAAGACTTGGGTTGTAGCTGGCCCCTTTTCTCACTGTGTAGCTGATGCTTGGCCCCGTTGGCAGCCGTTGGAGCTGTTCCCGTCCTGGCTCGGACTCGTTCCCTCCGAGGTCCCTACAGCGGATGCGAGGAGCAAGGCGCGCCATTGAGCATTGCTACCTCTATAGATCAGAAATTCTCCGAATGTTCCTTAATTTGGATGTTATTCCACGGAGATGGTTTCGACAGACCGTCACTGCGTAGGTAAGGTAAGGTAGTGGTATATATCTTGCCCATCCCATCTTCCGTCCCAAGGTTGGAAGATCAACGGCGGCGGTGGGAAATGCGCATGATCCGTTGGAGTAGAAGGTTCGATAGAGTGGATTTGGACCCCATGCTCGAACTTGTTGGCCGGGATGGCGGGACGATGGGCAGTCTGTTCTACCGAGAACGACGGTGAAAGGAGTTCGTTCATGGAGACTTTCCGAGTTCGTTGCTCGTGTGTTGCCGTGTCGCGTCGAGTTGTCCGGACGTCGGCCCTCAATTCCATCGAGCTAGCGGGCGGGTGGCACCATTTGGTAGCGCTGCTTTTTGGGGGGCTGCCGCACTAACAATTTTCACCACTAACACCCGACCGCTAACAATGAACCACACCCCCGGACCTCCAGAGAAGTCGTCTCCAACATCAACACCATCAGTCCATCTTGACTCGACACACGACAACTGCCCGCTGAAGCCAAAGAGACAGGGCGATACCGTCGTCCGCCCAACCCCCCAGCAGCGCAAGGCTATCCGTAGGGAAGGGGGCTTGCTATTTGCAAAGAAGTACAGACGCCCAACACCCCCAAACAGCCAGGAAGAGACCGCTACCTCCTCTAAAGAGATGCCCAACTACAGCTCTACCCCCTCAGGCCCAAAAAACTCCGACAGCCCGGCCCAGACCCAGCCCTCCGCCGACGAAGCTATAATTAAAGCCCAACTCAGCGAATACTCCTCCTCGGACTCAACTATCCGCCGTTCTAACCGCCACAAAACGCCCTCCCGGAAGGCCGCCGGTCTATAAATAGTCAATACAGCCCCCCCCGCAACAGCCTAAATATTCTGGACTAAACTAGAATTCGTATTTTTTAGGCTAATATAGTACGAATAAGAGATACGTACGAAATTGCACTCCAAACCGCTAGTAAAGTTAGAGCGGATATAATTCTAATATAAGAACTAAGAATATAGTAGTACGAGGGCTGTTTTGGTATTCCTGGACACCTACTTTACACTTTATACACCCCTATCCGTACATAAATAGAAAAGGCAGCCACCTACCCTCGGGTAGCTACCTACGTCCGTAAGGATATAGTAATTAGAGGCTTTATAATTAAGCCTACTAAAAATATTCTCTAAATTAAGGCCTAAGGGGTAGTTTTTATTAATATCTACCGCCGATTGGATGATATTACTACGCTAGAAGCCCTCGAACGGTAGTAACCAGCGGTGAAGATACTTCTTACTAGAGATTTTAATACTAAATACTATTCGTAGTAGCCCGGGACTAATATTATAGAAGGTACTATATATATTATTAAATATATTACAATGTACGGCCTAGATCTACTAATAGTCCCTAATATTCTTATATATAGCCGGGGTAATATAATTAATTTTACCTTTTTGAATATTCCCCTATACTTAATAAGAATTGCCCCGGAGTTAGATTATAGCTCTAACTATTAAGTCTATATTATCAATATACCGACTCGGCAAATAGAACTGCTACGCTGGCGCCTAATCCTACGCAAAGACCCTAAGGCTATTAAATTGTACGTAGAGAATATTTCCTTCCTTATAAGGTTTATCCTACTTATTCCTATAAGCGAAGACTCCTTAGAGAGGTTAGACGAATTTACTAAGGCCCTCTATAATATATTTATAAAAGTGCTCTAAATTATTTGTAGGTTATTAAGACCCGAGAAGAATATAAAGTAGTAGAATAAAATGTACGTTTAAATATTTAGAATATTCCGGAATTATTACTATAATAACCCCTATCCTCTTCCTTAGTAGGTAGAAGCGCTATAGTATAAACTTAAAAGGGTAATAAAGGAAGTAAAATAATTATTCTTCAATAATTTAATTTGTAAAGTAAAAAATTAATAAAAATATTTACCGGATTATAATATAGTATAGGCCCCGCAATCGAATAGAGGCCCCCTCGCTAATTATAAACAATTAGACTATTATCAACCCTAAAGAGAAGGCTGAAGCCTTCTATATAATACTACTAAAAAAGAATAGTGAAGATTAGGATTTAAATACCGGGTAGGTGCCTATAGTACCGTAGCGCCGCCTACCCTAAAATATAATTATATATAAGGACGAAATATATAAAACCCTCTACAATATAAGTAATACTTCCCCCGGCGCTAATAGTATTATAATCCGTATATTAAAAGCCTCCTAAGGAACTATTAAGGACATAGTCCAATAGCTCTATTAAAGCTGCGTCACTACGGGCTACTACTCGCAAGTCTTCCGGTAAGCGGAGGTAATTATAATTCTGAAGCTAAGGAAAGACCAAATGATTGTAAAAGGCTAGCGGCCTATTTTATTACTATTATACTTAAGTAAAAGTATTAAGCGGCTAATTAGTAGGTAGATTACGTAGATAGCCGTCTCTAATAGTGTTCTAAACCCCCAATAGGCTAGAACCCTACTGAAATGTTTTATAATAAATATTATAGAAGTTTTAATTTATAATATTAAAAATATATTCGATAGGGGACTAGTAGCTGCGCTAGTCGCTATAAATATTAAGGGTACCTTCGATACAATCTTAATAAATAAGTTAGTTCTACAGTTATAAGAATAAAACTAGCCAGATTATATTATATGCTAAATTAAATCCTTTATAATAGACCGTAGAATATACGTCTACTACCCGGATGTAACTACCCTAATACGCCGGTTACAATACGGGCTCCCGTAAGAATCGCCGGCGTCGCTGGTTATTTACCTACTATACACAGAACCCGTACACCGCCTTAGGGCTAGTAAAGCATAGTATTTCGGCTACGTAGACGATTGTGTAATATTAATTATAGGGGCTTTAAACGAAGAGGTTACAGAGAAAGCCTAGTGCGAATTCGACTCTATAGTTAGCTGGGGGGTAAATAACGCTATTAACTTTTCTCCCGAAAAGACCGAAATTTAATTCTTTATAAGAAAGAGGATAATAGCGCCCTTTCTAATTATAAGCCACGGAAGGATAGCAATCTCAATACAACCGGCAATAAGGTAGCTTAGGATTTAGCTTTATTATAAGCTGAACTGGAAGTATTATATAGAATACCAACTTACTATGAGGGCGCACACGAGCACAAGAGAAAGCCAGCTCAAGGAGGTTTATAGTACTAATTAAATATAAAATCAAAGCTAAAGAAAGAAAAAGGGGAAAGTATAAAGGTGGGCTGGCTATATATAACTAAATACGTATACGCGCCGAGCCCTATCTTAGTAGGGCGTGCCGCGAAGGTAGTACGCCGCCACGTAATTAGAACCTCTATAACCTAGGTATTATAGATCTGGGCTATAATATTACCCCCCCCTCCATTAGAAGGCTTAGACCTAGAACCGAGAATAAGAGTTAAAAGTATAAAAAATAAAGAAAAACCTTTCTAACGCAAGCCTATTTTAAACCTACGACCTCTCGCTTTCCAAATATATTAAATACCCTCGGAGTAAGAATATTAATTCTACTATATTATCCGTCCAATCCTACAATCGTCGTTAACTTATTAATAGAACCGTCCTACACTGCCTATTATTAATCTATCCTAATATTAATTTCCTTTATCAAAAAAAAATTATAATTTATTTCCTCCTACGTATTATTCGTCTCGCTAATCTTAATTCATTATCATTATAATAATCCTCCCTTTCCCCCGCAATCTATTACTACAATTATATTAGTAGTCCTAACTTATCCGGGTATTCTTCGTAGTAATTTTATAATACTTCTACCGTATTTTTAAAGCTTTCTACTAAATACTATTCTAAATCAGAATCTTATTCTCTCTACTCAATCTAATACTATAATTTACCATCTACCATCTTTAATAATAATACCTTATAAACTTCCTATTCTTCTTCTCTATTACTTATAAGGATTTCGCTTATAGGATTCTACTTTACTTATTCCAGTAACGGGTTTTCGTATACCCTACGGAAACGGTCGGCGTAAAAGACCCTACAGCTTTTCTATAAGTACGGCAACTCTAATTCGTACGAATATCCCTTTATAAATTTAATATAATATAAGATCCTAGTTAGCGGGTAATTTAATTTATTATTAGAGCGATCTATTAATTAATTCTTCTTAATAATAAAAACCCTATCCCCTATACCAAAATCCAGGTTTCTCCTATAGTAGTTTACTTAAACTATTTACTACTATTAAACTTTATTAATAGCCTATATCACCATATCCCAAATATTTATTAAACGTCGGACAATATCTTAGGCTTCCAACCTATTAATTTTCTCGCGGGAGGGCAACCCCGTTAAGCGAGTTCGATTTTTCTAATTAAAGGATATTAATTTTAAAAAGCCTATTATTACCTTATATAGTAATAAGCCGGCTAGACTTTTATATAGTAAGGCTACTTGAATTATATTTAATATAAATATAATTAGCGACTGATTATTTTAACTATAATTAATATAGGGGCGGAGCTTTTAGTTTAAATATTAGTTTATAATTTTTACCTATCTTACTATTTACAAATAGCCCGGGCTAATTAATTTCTATATAACTCTTAGCAATTTAGCTAACTCCTATATAAAGTCGAATATAAATTAAAATCCCTAATTACTAATAATTTCCTCCAGGTAGTTAAATATACAGAACGGGCCTTAGTAATATATTTAGACCGTTTATTGCACTATTACTATATTTTTATACGGAACATACTAAAAGATTTTTATAAAATAGTCTACTATTATTATTATATCATTATATCCTTTCTTATCGGTTAACATCAATTTAAAATCAACGATAATATTTATTTACAAACGCCCTTCAGTAAAAGGAATAGAGTGGAACTTCCTTAGTATTTTATCCCTAAAGTACTTTAAAAATTTATATTCCTAATAGTTTAATATATATTAATTTATATCCAAAATTATTATAGGCTACTAATATTACTTTTATACTAATCGCTACATTTTTACTTTTCTTAAGTACGTAGTAGCTAATTAGGTATAGATATTATATAAAAGATAGGTTCGGATATTCTTATTTTCTAGGACGATTAATTTCCCCTTATAATAGAATAAACCGTTTTCTAAGGAGAAGAATATATCCGCTATACTAATTTTAGCCCGGAATATATAAATTAAATTAGATATACAGTTTAAAGTTAGTAATTTATTAATTAAAACTATTTTTAAAAGAGTAGTAAGTAAATCGTCCTCCTATTCGTTTAATTTATTTAATATCGCTACTTCTACCGAACTTCGTACAATAATAGCCGCTCCTAAGTATAAGATAGTATATAATTCTATAATTAGAGTGTTTTCCTTATTTCTAGCGAATATAAAGAAGCCTTTATCGTTGGGTTTTAATATTTATAATATATATTAATCCTCCTTCCTAACCTTTATTATTTTTAGATCCTCGAACTTGCGTAATAATGTATCAGCTACGATATTTTTTTTATTTAGTCGGTAGGTTATTTTGAATTAGTATTTAGAAAACCTCTTAACCTAGCGTATTTAGCGCTTATTTAGGAGTTTCTTATTACCGAAGAATTTTAATACTTAGTAATTAGTAATAATTATAAATAGGGTTACCCCTTTTAACTCCGGTCGTTATTATTTAAAAGCCTTTATTACTACGAATAACTCCTTATTATAAATTGGGTAATTTAGCTCCGTTAGTACTATTATTTCTAAATAGAAGGTAATAGGGTATTATTCCCCGTTGTTTTATTTCTAGCTTATCATACTTATATATATACTATTGGATACGTCCGTTTCAATTTTTATCTCCTAATTATATTTAAAATAAGA